TGGTTACAAACTGTGTAAGAGACAGTAGACAGAATTTATTTCAGGGCAGTCGTGCTGCAGCGATTGGATTGCACTGTCTGAGCCAAGGTAATCACAACACTGGGTCAAAGTAATGGGAATTCTTGTAGCTAGAACCAAGTCTAAACTGAATAACACAAAACGTTAAGGAGCTCAGTCTTCAGATGACTCCTATTAAAAACACACACACACACACACACATATATATATATATATATATATATATATATATATATATATATATATATATATGCCCTAATAACTATTTACACAATACTTAAAGTAGTATGGTGTCTATAAAGCTGCCACAATCCCTGAAGCCTATAACAAGTAAGGGGAGATGCATGAGATAGAGTTCTGGCATGGAGTGGGGTCAGCACAATGGACATAAAATGCATGAATAGAACTGGAATGACAAAAGTACATGGTTTACTTGAATAAATAAAATTTTGATGCAATAGGTTTTGGTTTCATTCATATAGTGTTTTTCATGCTCAAATCCCTATAGATTTTTTGCAAATTTCTGCACCATAAACCTGCCTCTTTACTGCAGAAAAAGACCATATCAAATATGTGTGTGTGTGTGTGTGTATATACATATCTCAAACTACTGATAGCACTGTGTAATCTGAAAATCTGAACTACAAAGTACCCTGCATTAGAGAGGATGCCCTGAAGGACCACTAAAGTCACCCTGACCACTTCATCTCAGCAAGTGTTGTGGTCCTGTATTTAACCCTTCCAGGTAAAATAACCGGATTGTATTGCCCGTTACTGACAGCCACTGTCTGAGTAAATCTTGGTCAGGTGATGTTGCAACTCATAGGAATGCTTTGGATGCAATGCTTTCCTATAAGAAAGCAGCGATTGGCCATCAGTGGAGGAAGCCATGCCTCCTCTTTAGACAAGACAAGCCCTGCACCACAAATTACTCAAATTAATACATTACAATGTAATACATGCAGGGGCTATAATACACAATAGTTTTATTTTAAAGAACACTGTATTCATATGGAATAGTGAAGGTGGTAGTAAATAAAGAAGTGCAATACTAAATCATACCAGAGGGTTTAATGTTCATTAATCTTAAAGTGACACTCAAAGCACCAAAAAAATTTAGCTTTATGAATTGTTTTTGTTGTATACTTCATGTCCACACAGTGTTATTCCTCAATTCTGTGTCATTTAGGAGTTAAATCACTTTGTTTATGCAGCCGTTACAACATCTCTGCCTGTGACTTATGCAGCCTTCCTTTAAAGAAAGATCACATTTTTAAACTTCCTTTATTCCACAGTGTGTTTAAACGGAAATTACTGTCAGGAAAACAAATTTGTTTTCCTGGCACTATAGCTCCCTATAAGGTCCAGCAATCCCCCCGGTGGTGCAGATGGGATTAAAAACACACTTACCTGGGTCCAACGCCGTTGTCTCTTTGTGCTGGCTCAGGTCCACCTCTACTCCTCCTTCGCCACTCACATTAGTATTTCTCACATACGGATTCCGGTGACGCTGGGTGTCCTCATGCATAGTGTGAGGATATCTAGTGTCAGTGTGTCAGTTAGGCGACCAAAAGTCACCTAACTGCCTGGAAGTCCCGCGAATGGAGTCCCTCTGGTGGAGCTACTCCACAAAGCTAATTATTGCAGTTTATAAAAACCTGCAGTAATAAACTTTGCATGGTTAAGGGTGCTTGGACAGTGCACCCAGACCACTTCAATGAGCTGAAGTGGTCTGAGTGCCTTTAATTTAGAATGTCACATCTCATGCTCTATTAATAGCTAGTTAATGTCAGCAGGACCCTACTGTTTGTGATTAAAGTTCAATTAACAGTGCAGGAGATACAAACTTCTAAAGTAAACACACTGTGCAGTAAGATCTGATTAAAAATGAAACTATATTTTTCATGGAGGTAGTATGAGTCAAGCCCCAGAGAGGTGTGGTTTATGACTGCATATACAGAAACAACAGTGATTTAACTTCTAAATGGCACTGAATTGAGCAAGGAGAATGCAGGAGCATGATCTATACCTAAAACTGCTTCATTAAATATAAAGTTGTTTTGATGCTTAGAGCATCCCTTTTAATTTAGATAAGCTCTACTTACCCACTTTGGATCCGGAGTAATGTGCTCCACATAGCTGTAACAAAAAACATTTTATTGTCACATTCCGGTCATTTAATGAGTAGCATTTAACAGTTTGTATCATTTAACAAAGAGCAGTTTGAGTTTTTGCAGAACATAGGAATGTTGTGCTGAGTAAAGCATTTAACCACTTTAAGGTACACGATAGTCATCCAGCCCAATTCATCTCATTGAAGTGGTCTGGCTGCAGTGTCCCAGTCCCACTTAGTAATGCAATGTACATCATTGCTGTTTTTGAGAAACTGCAATAATTACACTACAGGACGAAGACTACCTGTAGTGGCTGTCAATCAGAAATCCTCTAGAGGCACTTCCCGGTTGCTAACAGATGGTTGGTCGCTAACTGATGCTGGACATCCTCACGCTCTGCATGAGAACATCCAGCATCAGTAAAATCTCCAAAGGAAAGCATTGAAGCAATGCCTTCCTCATGGGAGGGCCTAAGGTGCTTGTGGCTCATTAGCCCCCCTCGTCGGATGAGCATATCGCTTGTAAGGGGAAGACTGCGTCCCCTTCAAACTCTCCCCCATTATCCTCAGTATTTTATTTATTTTTTTAAAACCCTTCCATTGCCGGCAAAAAGAACAATCACAGGCTTCTCTATGAGAAGCCTGTAACTGAACCGCGAAAGGTCCCAGTGATGTTGGAGGGGGCGCAGAGCTGGGAGGTTCATCAGGTGCTGGAATCCAGGTAAGTAAAATGCTTTTATTTGCAGGCTGTACTGTACAGAGGGGGCATTCTTCTTCATTGTGCCCAAAAGAGAATTTTACACAGGAAAGTTCCCCCCTTTTTAAAGTGACTCCAATCCATAAAGTCTATATTTTTTTAAATTTAAATCGTCACTTTTATAAATTAACCTTGTTACATCTTCCTGGCTGTCAGACAACAAGTCCTGTTAGTTTGGCTCAGTGGAGCTAAACTCAAAAGGCAGGCAAGTGCCCAGAGCACCTACCTTGCAAAGACATTTCATAGAGAAGTCTGTGATTGGTCACTCACAGCAAGTCTAGGTGAGGTTAGAAGGGGAGGTATTGCAAAAGCAGCAAGCAGTGATTTTTTTTCCCCTTTAATCTAGGCAGATATAACCATTCAAATTAGCACTTTTTTTTTTAACTCATTTTATTTTCTATTCATGGAAAATGGATGATATGGAAGTATAAGAAGCACTTATTGAAAATTGCAAAGAGTTTCTGTAAGTAGCAAAGCAATGCATCCAGTCTGACTTTTTGTTTTTAAGATATGGCCAAAATGTAACTGTACATCGCTTTAGAGTTAGGGGGGACTCTGCAAGACCTATAATCGATTGCCAGCTGTTGTACTACAACGCCCATGAATCTCAGAAAGCTTAAATATTAAAGGAAATTAAGTTTAAAAATAGGTATAGAGTTATATTTTGGCTATATCTGGAAAACAAAAAGGCAGACTGGATGCACTGTTATCTACAGAAAATATTTACAATTTTCAATAACTGCTTCTTATGATTCCTTATCATCCATTTTCCATTAATAGAAAATAAAATTAATAACAAATGTACTAATTTGAATGGTTATATCTGCTCATCCGTCAAATAATATAGCTAAGAAAACTAACTGATCGTCTCAAATGCGAACATCATGTTGATCTTTGCAACAATAACATTAGAGCTAGGATATTAATCATATTAGACAAGAGAGGCAGAAGTAAAATTACAGATACTCTTATTTATTATTTTACAACACAAACATTCAGTTAAAGGACCACTCTAGGCACCCAGACCACTTCAGCTTAATGAAGTGGTCTGGGTGCCAGGTCCCTCTAGGATTAACCCTTTTTTTTTTTTTTTTTTAAATAAACATAGCAGTTTCAGAGAAACTGCTATGTTTATAATAGGGTTAATCCAGCCTCCAAATCCTCTAGTGGCTGTCTCATTGTAAATGCTTTCCTATGAGACGAAAGGGAGGATCGGAGGCGGAGAGGAGGAGGAGAGCTCCCCGCCCGGCGCTGGAAAAAAGGTAAGTTTTAACCCTTTCCTCTCGCCAGAGCCGGGCAGGAGGGGGACCCTGAGGGTGGGGGCACCTTCAGGGCACTATAATGCCAGGAAACGAGTATGTTTTCCTGGCACTATAGTGGTCCTTTAAAGGGAAACTCCAGTTCCAGGAAAACAATTAGTTTCCTGGCACTGCAGGTTCCCTCTCCCTCCCACCCCCCAATCCCCGGTTGCTGAAGGGGTGAAATCCCCTTCAGTCACTTACCAGAGGCAGCGACATGTCCCACGTCGCTGCTTCTTCTGATCTCGCCCACTGGCCGGGATTTTAGCGACGCTGGAGGTCCGTCCATCGACGCTCTAGCACAGGTTTTCTGTGCTATGGTCCAGGAAGTGCCCTCTAGTGGCTGTCTCCCTGCAAGGTAATTATTGCAGTTTATAAAAAAAACTGCAATAATTACACTTGGAGGGTTAAGAGTAGTGGGAGTTGGCACCCAGACCACTCCAATGGGTAGAAGTGGTCTGGGTGCCTGGAGTGTCCCTTTAAGCGAGACGCTGTAAGAAGTGAGGAGATATGATGATGAATGAGAACCTATAAGATTATTATCATTATTATTACCACGTTCAGTTAATAAGACATTGCCATAGACATTGACACTGTCTCCGGTCTGTGACTCAAACCCCTATCACCGTCAGCCGGCCAGGAGAGTGTTTGACTCTTACTAATTATATTTCTATGTTCCCAATGAAGGTTATGCCAGATCCCTGCTGACATGACACTATCGCCCTCCTCCATACTCACTTGCGGCCATGGACGCCGCCATCTTTGCTGTGTGCCGCTTTACGGCTCTGGTGCTGTCGTCACTCACGTGGGAGCCGGCTGATTTACGACAGTCAGAGAGCAGCGTGTGGGACATTAGGCTGGTGTTGTACAGGTAACACAGGGGAGTTCGGTTCCTCTAATACAATAACTGGCTTCCGCAGGCACCACTGCCCCATAACACAGAGTGGAGAAGAGCCCACTGCCATGCAATAAGTTTATGGGCTATTCTTTATTGTAAAATAGTCATATTACGGAGTACTTACCGCATATAGGTGGTGGTGGTGGTGTAAGTTATCGGTGTCCCTTTAATGATTAGGTTTTCCGAATTCCACTCCTCGTACTGGCCATTTAATGACATGTTAATACAGACATGTCCTTGTCTATTCCCTTAATAACCCCCGCCTCCCCCCATGCACTTGCATGTATATTCCTATTTTAATTTCCCTGATTCTGACATTCCAACACCCAGTTATTTATAATTCTGTCCTACCCGTGGATAGCATCATCTTAATCTTGTCATACCCAGGCCTTGTTCCCCAAAGCTTGGTTTACCAATTTCTACTTCCCACTTAATCCTGACATTCTCATTTATAGTTAATTATAATACTGACATGCTCATGTCTATCTTCACCTTAATCATGACAAACTGATATCTAGCTCCCTATTATTAATAATGACATATCCATGTCTAGCTCTCCTTTAATCATGCTATACCCATGTATAATTTGCCCATAATCCTGACCTAATCATGTCTAGCTCCTTCCTGTTTGTAACATACCCCATGTCTACTTCCACCTTAATTGTGACATACCCTTGTCACCATTTTAATCCCTAAATATGCATGTCTAACTCCCACTTAATATACTCATATCTACTTGCCCATTAATCCATGTCCAGTGCCTTCTAACATACCTTTGTCAAAAAACTTGCAATGGAAACATATCTTGAAGTCCACAAGTCAATTGCTTTGCAAAATAAGAGCTTCCCCTTAAATGCTAAGGATCACTGTTAATACAAGGTTTTATTTTATACTTCTAAGGCAACAGAAAAATGGGTGATCCGGATCGGGCACTGAGTGCGTCACCCAACTGGTATTGCAGTCGCTGTAGTGATGCCGCTGGAGGACTTTTTGGATTTGGTGCACGCAATTCTATTTTTCTGATGCGCATCAGCCCAGAGGAGCCTGGGCTGTATGGTAAGTGTCATCACAACCCAAAATTATTAGCTAAGATAAGATAAAAGCCTAGAGTTTTACATGACTTTGTTAGAAAAATGTCAACTTTTATGTATTTTATAAAAAAAAGAAAAAGAAGTTATCATTGAATGGACATTCTAAACTCCATATGTTCTACATCTTTTTATGGAATGTTTGGGTGATCCTCCCAGACAGGATTGTCCCGAAGCCTGCTGCCAAATTATAGAAATAAGAATTAATGTGGAGGCATTTCTCAGTGTGGTTTAGTTATAGGAACAGCAGGTTCAGCTGAGTGCTTCTTTGTTTTGTTTTTGGTATCAAAACACAGGAACTGCAAGTGTGTGTGTGTGTGTATGTGTGTGTATATATATATATGTATGTGTGTGTATATATATATATATATATATATATATATATATACACACACACACACACACAGTGGTTAGGAAGCCTGGAGTATCTGGGTGCTAGGTCCAAGTTACTGCTAATAAACTGTTAGCAAATATTTTAGCAGATCATAACCTCATTAGATTATGTACCATGATCAAGTGGAATTAGTCCCAAAGGACAAACTATTAGAGCAGCTAATATTATCCGTAATGCTGCACTAGAAAACATAACATCCCTGATGCTGTCCACCGACACTGAGAAATCATTTTTACTAATAGTTTATCAACTTATAATGTATCCACCCACCAAAAGACTTTGAGATGAAGTAAAGAGTTTTCACTGCACTCATTTGGTATCCAATAAAGTGTCTTGAGGAAATCCCATGATATTTATTGGTTTATTAAAGAACATACATACATGGCCACTTAAATGCAAACAAAACTATTTGTTCTTCGATTCTTTGGAGTATGTTCTTTTAAGAATCTTGACTTAGCACAGCCAAGTAATATGGGGTAAGTTCCATCTGTGTATACCTGCCACCATTATTTGTGCTTGGGGGGAGTAACTTTATAAAGTGATGATAAATCTCTAAGCTAGGTGTATATTTATGTATTTCAATGTATATTTATTTACACATTAATGTATATTTAAAGTGATGATAAATCTGAAGCAAGATATATTAATTATTTCAATGTATATTTTTGCAAGATGAAAGAGAAGAGAGAGCTTACCTTAGGTAAAGTACCCTGGGACAGGGAATTTTCCGTATATACTCGAGTATAAGACGAGTTTTTCGGCACATTTTTTGTGCTAAAAAAAACCCACTCGTCTTATGCTCGAGTGAGTGTCTGTATTATGGCAACTTACATTGCCATAATATAGACCAGGACCGCCCGGCTCTCTACAAGCCTGGCGGTCCTGTTGGGGGCTGGGAGCAAACTGTTACTTACCTTTACATCAGCTCCTGTCAGCTCCCTTCACCTCTGTGCTGTTCAGCTCCAGCGTAAGTCTCATGAGAGCTGCGGCCGTCAGAGCGTTGCCACAGGTTACCGTGGCAACGCTCCGCGCGGCACGCAGACCGCAAGATTTACACTGGAGCTGAACGGCACGAAGGAGAAGGGAGCTGACAGGAGCTGCTGTAAAGATAAGTAACAGCTTGCTCCCAGCCCCCCCCCACTGTACAGCCCATCCACTGGACCACCAGGGAATAATATAGCGCCCCTCCCTGGCCATGTATCAAGCAGGGAGGAGGGACAAAAAAAATAAAATAAAAATGTAATAATATTAAAATAAAAATAAAATGTAATATTAAAATAATATAAAAATGCACACCCTGCATCACATACACACACACACTCTGCATCACACACACTGCATCACACACACACACACTCTGCATTCATTATATACACACACTGTAAATAAATATTCAATTAATATAATTTTTGGGGGATCTAATTTTATTTAGAAATTTACCAGTAGCTGCTGCATTTCCCACCCTAGTCTTATACTCAATAAGGTTTTTCCCAGTTTTTTTGGGGTAAAATTAGGGACCTCGACTTGTATTTGGGTCGACTTATACTTGAGTATATACGGTATTTCTAATTTTGACATTGGTGAGAGATCTTGAAATTGCAAACCCCTTCATGATATATGGGAGGGATTGCTAGGGTCAGATTCTGAGAGGTTGGTAGAATATGTAAACACATTGCAAAACACCATAAACAGTTATTAGATTGGGGATGTGATAAGTGTTGGATACTTGTTTAATAGTACAAGGTAAAAGTACAGCATGTGCAACATGAGATAGCTCAACATTAGGCTGGATTAGAGTAGGCAAAATTAAAAGATACATGACCTGTCTCATATTTTGTAATTATTATTATTTTTTTTTATTTTTTTAAAGCAATGGTTTTATCAAATAAGAAACAATATATATCCTTTTTAGAATGTCTGCTGTGCTATTTTTGATGCATGTTTTCTCTTTTCCTATCCCAGGGGAGCTGGTAGGACATACGGACAGGGTATCTGGCTTTGGCTTTTGTCACTATTCTGGTCTGACCCACCTCTGTGGCAGCAGCTCTGATGATGGCACCGTGAAAGTTTGGGACACCCAGACCAAGAGTATAGTAACAGAGCACAAGCTTCACAGGGTATGTAATAGGTGTCTGTTGGGGGAGAAAAAGTGATGGATATAATGAGATGTAGGGGGACACTTGTGATAACTTTTAAATGGTATGAGTAAGAAAGCATGAGCTGTTCTAACAGCAGAATGCCCCATTGAAACTAGATTCAAATTAAAGCATAAGAAAGTACCAGTTAACCTCATGTCTTTCTTCCCCTTGGTTTATTTTTTTCTTATTCACTGTGGTGTATTTTCTGACCGTCTTCCTCCTTCTCACAGTTTGATTTAATCTAATTTGTGGTCTCCCCGTCTCTTAATTCTCTTGTGAAGGTTTTTTCTAACATTCCCCTTTAGGGTCCATTACCCAAGTATACCTTTTCCTCCATTTAGCCCCGCACTCTGCTATGTAACACATGTATTAAACCCCTCTTTGGTTTTTTGTTTATCAAACCTTTCATATCAGTATATACATCTTCAGTGGTCTTAAAACTTTCCTTTCAGTGGTCTTAGACATAAGTGTCAAAGCCCCCAATGTTGCGAGCCTCTCTTCATCTTTCTCATTTTCCCAATGTTTCAATTATCTCTTTTTCTAACCCTCATGATTCAGTGTATGAACTTCACGTGTAAATAAAACATGTATATAAATATCTAAATACACTAGAGTGTGCCAGAAGATTCCAATATACAAATTTAATTTATTGGTCTTTATTACGAGGTCTGTTTTCTGGGAGTTGGCCTCAGAGTGGAGGCATTTACCAGCTATACACACACTGGATAGCCTTTGTTTTTTCCAGCTTCTTCATGTTCTAGTAGAAGAGAGAACCTTTCATTTATCATAAGCATACTTCATTTTGTTCAGTCGTAATATATAAAAATTCTATACGAATCTCTGAAAATTATCTAAATAAAGGAGAAAAATATCAGCAAAAATCAGCACGGTTTTATGAAGCACAGGTCATGTCAAACTAACTTGATTGCGTTCTACGAAGAAGTAAGTAGAAGTATAGATCAGGGTGTTGCCGTGGATGTGATCTATTTGGATTTTGCCAAGGTATTTGATACAGTTCCACACAATAGATTAGTGTTCAAACTCAAGGAAATCGGTCTAGATGAAAATGCTTGTTCTTGGGTAGAACATTGGCTTAAAACAGAGTACAAAGAGTTGTCATTAATGGTAAATTTTCAAGCTGGACAGAGGTGGCAAGTGGTGTCCCTCAGGGTTCTGTTCTGGGACCCCTTCTATTTAACATTTTTATAAATGATCTTGAAGACAGCATTGAAAGTCATGTTTCAGTGTTTGCAGATGACACAAAACTCTGTAAAATAATACAATGTGAGCAAGATATTACTGTGCTGCACAGGGATTTAGATAGACCGGGGGACTGGGCACTCAAATGGCAGATGAAATTTAATGCTGAAAAATGCAAAGTTATGCACTTCGGCGTAAAGAATACACAAGCAACGTATACCCTTAATGGAAGCGAATTAGGGATAACAACACATGAAAAGGACTTGGGAATTGTTATAGACAACAAACTATGCAACAATGTGCAATGTCAATCAGCAGTGGCCAAGGCCAGTAAGGTATTGTCATGCATGAAAAAGGGCATTCATTCTCGGGGTGAGAATATCATTTTGCCTCTTTATAAATCACTGGTAAGACCCCATATTGCATATGCTGTGCAATTTTGGGAGCCTGTTCTAAAGAAGGATATTATGGCACTAGAAAAAGTGCAGAGGCGGGCTACAAAATTAATAAAAGGAATGGAACATATCAGCTATGAAGAAAGGCTAACAAATTTTAAACTTGTTTAGTTTAGAAAAACGTCGCCTGAGAGGGGATATGATAACATTATACAAATATATTCGGGGCCAATAAAAAACCATTGTGTTGAAATCTATTCACAAACCGGACTTTACATAGGACACGAAGTCATGTGTTTAGACTGGAAGAAAGAAGATTTCGTCTAAGGCAAAGGAAAGGTTTTTTTACTGTAAGAACAATAAGGATGTGGAATTCTCTGCCTGAAGAAGTGTTTTTTTTCAGAGTCCATACAGATGTTCAAACAGCTGCTTGATGCATACTTGCAAAAACAGAATATTCAAGGATATAATCTTTCAATGTAGGGTAATAACTGCTTGATCCAAGGATAAATCTGACTGCCATTCTGGGGTCAAGAAGGAATTTTTTTCCTACCTTGTTGCAAAATTGGAAGTGCTTCAAACTGGGGGGGGGTTTTGCCTTCTTTTGGATCAACAGCAAAAAACAAATGTGAGGAAGGCTGAACTTGATTGACGCAAGTCTCTTTTCTGCTATGTAACTATGAGAACGATTATTTGTACTCTTTCTTATGAAAAAAGGAATTAATTAAACCAGAATTTCATGACATGTTATAATACCTCTTTGTCCCTTTTTGTGACATTAGCATCTAAGGTTGTCTTCCATTCCTTTTATAATGGGTAGATTTTTTTTCTAAATCTGTTAACGTCAAATAGTTGGATTCATTTATTTTATTTAACATATACCAGTTTTTCTTCATATTCCTGTGTTAATGAAGGCATGTCTTCCTCAAAATGTGTGGATGAAGAATTTGTGTTCAAACAAAATATATATTACATTGTTCTAGCAAATTCTAGCTATTGTTATATTTCCATTGCAAGTGCACTTTAACTTTCATTTCTTTATATATTCTTTTTACATTAGAACACAATTACTGCCCTGCACTGGTCACCTCTAGTTAAAGGCTTGCTAGTGACTGGGGATGAGAAGGGCATAGTTGTTTGCTTTTGGAGTAATCGGAATGAGGGCCAACAATTCTTTCCAGAACCAAGAACCATTTTCTGTCTCTCCTGCTCGCCACATCAGGAGGACATAGTTGCAGTTGGGTAAGCATTATTAAACGCTTTCATGTATCATAAAATTAGTATACAACCTAGCTCATTTTGCACTGAAATTACAAATGTATGTTAACTACTTAGCATGCTTGTACTTCTCTGCTAAACCTGTGGGATCCATAGTCATTCACATTGCCACTCCCATTGGTTTGACTTGGAGCTCAGTGATGGGCTGGAATGCCTGTGGTGCTTTCTGATGTGACGGATGTTCTAAAAAGGCAATTATGCACGAGGACTTGCTGCAGGAGATCATCCATAAATGTTTGTGTCCATAAATTTACATGGGCTTGACAAATACATTTTGCCAAGTTTCCTTGGTGACTCACACATTTGATCTCCCATAGCCAGTCCCCAGTGTTAAAATAAGTGATCAGCAGGGTGTGGAGTGGGAGGAAAAATTAATTCTACATATTAATGTCTACATATCAAGGAAATGTGAATAGCGCAAGGAAAGCGAAAAAAAAAATCACCCAAGGAAGAATATTGTGTCAGTTAGACCGGGTCTTCCAATAGATGTATGAGTGACAGATTATGCATGAGAGAGAGAGTGAGTGTGATTAGTTTGGTTTGTATTTGTTAGAATTATTATTATTATTAGCAGAATGTAGATATGTAGCACCAACCTATTTCACAGCACTTTTCAATTATACCTCTCTCTAGGGTAATTGTCACTGAATATCTGTTTAACGAATGTCAATTTATCCTAGGTACAAGGATGGTATGATTGTGTTAATAGATGTCAGTCGTAGAGGGGATGTAGTTCACCGGCTGCGAGGACATGATGAAGAGATACACTGCCTGGCATGGTGCCCTCAACCACGGGAGGAGGAACTACAGCTGAAACTAGAAGAAACATCTGGTATGAAAATTGCATACCCCAAGTTCACTTAAATATTTGTACAAGTATTTTTATTATATTTATTTGATGAGTACTGTATTCTGTAATCATATTTATTCATCGTGTAAGCAAAGTGTTTGAATTTATCATATGATATAAAATCCAGAAGTGCGAATATAAGCACTATTTTCTCTTCCTGTATAAACTAAAGGGCTATTTATTATAGGAGTGCTATGATGCACCAATCAATATCTCCTCATAGAAATGGTTTAGCTCTGGAGAATGTCCAGCATCTTTATGCAGAGCATGAAGAATCTGAATTTTGCTCCTGCAAACAATGAATATTGAACCACAACAACAAGCTCCTCCAATGATGACCATTAGAGATGTCCTTAGTGACAAAAGTAAACCCAGCCTTTTTTTAACGTTTTTAAAATAGTCAGACTGCAGGGATACACTTTTTGCACCAGAACCACTAAATTAAAGAGTACTTTAAACACTGCATTTTTGAAAGATCAGATACACGCCTAAAATGCAGTATGACAATATACAAATTATGATACTTCAATTTTGATTTCTGCTCAATTTTTTTTAAACCAAGGCATGCACAGTTTAATCTGCTAACAATGTGTAGATAGTGCATAACAGTATTTTACTGTCCAAAAAATATAAAAAAATTTAAGAGAGAAAAAAAACCTCATTTTTTATTTCCTTCATTCTCGCTCATCTGTGTTTCTCCTCCACCTCTCTGATCTGAGGTCCCAATGGACACACATACACTGATCAGCCACGACATTAAAACCACCTGCCTAATATTGTGTAGGTCCCCTTCTTGCTGCCAAAACAGCTCTGATGCGTTGAGCCATGGACTCCACAAGACCTCTGAATGCGGAATATCTGTGGTATCTGGTACAAAGGCCTGCAAGTTGCGAGGTGGGGCCATCATGGATTGGATTTGTTGTTCCTATGGAATTTGGAGGTCTAGGCTACACCTTTAACTCTTTGTCATTCCTCAAACCAGTCCTGAACAATTTTCCTCCTGTAAGAGGCCATTGCCAATTGGAAACACCATTGTCATGAACATGTACATGGTCTGCAACCATCTCTAGGTAGGTGGTAAGTGTCAAAGTAACATCCATATGAATGCAAGGACCCAAAGTTTTCCAGCAGAACATTGAACAGAGCATAACACTGGCTCTTCCTACCTTCTTCCCTTGTTGCATCCTGCTGCCATCTCTTTCCAAGGTAAACAATGCACAAACACCTGACCATCAATTATGCTCTAAAATAAAAGGTGATTCTTCAGACCAGGCAGCTTTTTTCCATTTCTCCATGGTCCAGTTCTGATGCTCATGATGACGCCCATTGAAGGTGCTTTCAGCGGTGAACAAGGGGTCATCATGGGCACCCTGTCTAACATGGCAAGCATTACGTTTTTAAGCTGTTTGAGCTACAGCAGCTACAGTAGCTTTTATGAGTAATTGACAAACTAGCCTTCGCTATCCATTTGCATCAATGATTCTTGGGTGCCCATGACCCAGATACTGGTTAGCCAGTTCTTCACTGAACCACTTTTGGTAGGTACTAACCACTACATAACAGAACATTCCAACAGACAGGCCGTTTTGTAGATGCTCTGACTGAGTTTTCTAGACATCACTATTTGGCCCCAGTTCTTTGCTTGCCCATTTTTCTGCTTCCAACTCATGAAATTCAAGAACTGACTGTTCACTTGCTGAGATATATATATATATATATATATATATATATATATATATATATATATATATATATATATATATATATATATATATATATATATATATATATATACAATGTTATTCACGTCATCTGTCAGTGGTTTTATTGTTGTGGCTGATCAGTGTATGTTTGTACGTGCTATTGTAACCGCTGGTGGTTCCCTTATTTACCACTATAATGTCTTAAAGCATAGAACTTAGTAGGGCTAACCATACAGATATCATAGCCATAATTTTATATAGTGTAAGAGATCCTCTATTTAACATATATAAATAATTGAGAATACAATATAAAATAAGGATTGTCTTGGAAGCAATCGTTTTGTCTTTTGGATATTTATTATATAAAAATATAAAATCCATTATAGCAGAGTTTATAAGATTAAATTACATGCTTGCAAATATCATTAATAGGTTAACATACCCTTCTGAACATGTCATCATGTCAGCCTCTCTGTCATTTTAAGATGGAGCAGCGTCTGTCTCCAAGTCTCTCCTCTGTGTCTTAACATTTAAAAGTACACCTATTTATACCTTAGGTGTCTCCACTTTAGGTTACTGTAGTTCAAATATGAAAAAGTAACACTTCTTTTACTTTTTTCAATTTAGGACCTCCCTTAATTTGGCAGACATACAAGGCCATAACTAAAGGGTGTATACGTCATGGAAATTTTCCTGACTTAGTTCAAGATGGCATCTTAAAGTCTGAATAGGTTATCTGTTGTTTATACTAAGTCGTAAGTGTACAGTCGCGGGAGATTCCCGGATTTGGGGAAGTTCCATTAACTTGGGGTTACCACAGTATATTGTGTACTGCAAGTGTCGTAGCATAGCCTTGAAGCTTGTTTATGCATTATTGTTATTGTAATTCGTCTGGGACAAAATGGCGCAAACATATTATGCACTGAGGTTATTGCTTAAAGAAACAGTTAAGAAAAACAATATGTTCCATTTCTAACACCTTGTCAGTTTGCAATATCTCTTAAAGACAAAGTACACAGTTTAAGAAATACAAAATTTCATTCTAAAACTTGTAATATTTGCATTTGCCCGTAACACTATAAATGTTAGAAAGAAGCAAGCTGAATTGTAGTCATTTGACTTGTCTTCTTTAGTATTCTTGTGTGTTGCTCAGTGTCGATTGCCTTGTCTAGTTGGAAAAAAGACAAATGTCCATCAAGTTTGGTTTTTCACTGATCTCTGTCATAGACTAACACCACTAAAGCTTCCTACAGACTTTAGAAGCCTGTCTTGTTATACAAGAATTTAAAAGTACTATTTGTTTTTTACTCCGCCCAATGCTGTGGTCCTGCTGAACATACGTTTCTATAGTCACAATGGTTGTTATTTTTTCTTCATCTGTAGAAGAGTTGAGCACAGCCAATGGAGAGCTCCTTCCAGAAAATGTGAACACGGTGTGTTATTTGGCCTCTGGCAGCAAAGATCAAACTGTCCGTATCTGGAATGCTTCCTCGGGCAAAGGTGAGATCCTGGTTTGCATTTGTTATCCTTTCTGTGTAATATGTTAGAATGTTATAAATAAGTAAAAGTGTAGCCTTTTACTGTATGCACACAATGAAATCTTCAGTTCATTATTAAAACTGTTTTTAACTGTCATACATATTGTCCTTCAAAAAAGATAGGTTCAATAGAAAGGAACAGTGCTTAAAAATCCACTTTGAGTCTAAATTTTGCACATCTTAAATGCAATAAGTACTATAAATGAGGTTAAGTGGATTCTATGGGCATCAACACAACTCTAGTTTAATGAAGCAGTTTGGATGTATAGATCATGCATGAAAAAATTGTTTAATTTTTATGTATAGCTCTGTAAAATGTACTTTAATCACAAACAGGATACTATTACTAGAGCAGGACATATGGTATTCTAAGTTACACAGAATGTGCAATAAAGGAAGTTTCAACATTAGATCTCTCTTCACAGGAAGTCTTTAGGAAGGCTGTGTATGTAACATGCAAGGGTGTGTGACTAGAGCTGCATAAACATTGTGATTTAACATCTAAATGGCAGAAAATTGGGCAGTGAGACTACAGTAGCATGATCTATACACCAAAGCAGCTTAATTAAGCTAAGGTTGTTTTGGTGCCTGCAGTGTCCCTTTAAGTGTCTGATAGGGACTCTGATTCTATTACATCTTGAAATGTTCAGGTACACTGTATTTGTTAAACTATTAAAAAAAAGTATAGATGAAGTACTGAACAGTACATGGTAGTCTGTGTAAAGGTTGCTGTTTTATATGAAATAATTAAACAAGGCACAAGTGTATGCTACTCTACCGAACATTTCCTGTCATTAGTGAATTGTATAAGTGGAGAAGAGGCAGATGCCATTACCCTGAATGGGCATTATAACATGCTAGTAGGAATAAGTATAGAATTCTATAATTCTGATCCTATCTCAATGTCATGTTTATGATGAGGGATGGGTTATTTACTGAAGAGCAGTAAGTCTAAACCATGAACAGACTGCTAAGTAATGGGAAGTCATTATTTTTAGACAGTATACAGAGTGTTATCTGTCAAATACTATTACTTCCTGGTTTATTCATAGCGACATCTTGACTGGATTAGCCAATCACCTATCTATAAGGACAGTAAAAAAACGAATGAATAGGCCCAATTCTTTTAACTTTCCTCGAGGCCATGGGCTATTTAATGCTGCTTTCAGAAATTGCAATCATTCTATTTTTTTTTCTTTCCTTGGCAGTTTATTATTTAGCCATCACATACCCCATATGAAGCCCTGGTAAAGCACATTAGCAATGTGGCATTTCTTAGTGGCTAGGACCCTGGAAATAAAAAGCCTTAAAGGATAGCAGTATTTGGTGGCACCTTGGATATATGCCTCAGCATGCATATACATTCAATTTCAGAATTGCCTCTGTTATTTGCAACATGGAATCCAATGGTTCTTGGTGGTATCCCCTCAGAATATTATACACGATTAAATTATTTGACCCCTGAGCAATCAGGCTTTTGTCCAAATCACTCAACTTCCACTGCCCTCTTAAAAGTTTGCAATGACATCCAAATTGGCATGGAACAAGGAGACTTGACTGGAGCTATTTTCCTTGATTTTGCCAAGGCCTTTGACACAGTAGACCATGGCATACTTTTGCAAAAACTTAAAAACTCAGGCATTGGTGATCGTCCGCTAACCTGGTTTCGATTGTATGTTTCAGACAGATTTGCAATATGTGGCCATTTCTGATGGCGCTTCCCTCCCTCTTCCAGTCACGTGTGGTGTTCCGCAAGGCTCCATACTCTGCCCCTGCTATTCACATTTATTTATAAATTATCTGCCTAACGTCTGCAGTCAAATCCTCAACTGTACACATGTATGTAGACGACACTGTAACCTACGCTAGTAAACCCAAGCTACCACAGTTTGTCCAAAACCAATTCACAGAGGTAGAAAAGTGGATAGCGAATAACAAACTCTTCCTAAACACTGACAAAACTGTTATAATGATCTTTGGAACTGTACCTAAATTACGTAAACTACAAAATCAACAACTGTGTATCAGAACAAATTTAAATAGCACACTGACAGCAGTCTGCTCTTTTAAATAGCTAGGTATGTTGCTAGACCCCAATTTATCCTTTGGCCTTCACATTAAAAAAAAAATCTCTTCAACGCTTTGCCCAAAGCTAGGTGCCCTGTACAGAAACCAATTCTGCCTAAGCCCTACAGTAGTGCAACAAATGCTAATGCTTGTCATTGATTATGGGGATGTAGTGCATGCACTAGCACCGCAAACCCACCTTAATACGTTATATAATTTATTTTGCCGCTTTGTATTATAATGTAATTACTTTACCCACCACTGGGACATGTTAAAAGAGCTAAACTGACTATCGCTGGAATCCTGACGCATTCTTCATCTTTCCAGCCTTGTGCATAAGAGCGTTTCTGGGAAGCTCCCACCCTACCTGAGTAGAATGCTCTCCCCGGCTGTTCCCACCTTCTATAACCTCCGATCCAGCACTAGCACAATATTTAGCATACCGCAATAAAAAAATTAAAGTGACTCCATCCTCATTTTCCTACAGAGCACCACAATTATGGAATAACCTCAGGGACACAGTCAAATCTTCATTCAATCTAAAATCTTTTAAGAGATCTATGGCAGTATACCTCAATACAGAATGCATCTGGTTGAATATATTTATTACCTGTTCTATATTAAATTTATGTGTGTGTGTGTGTATGTATGTGTGTATATATATGTGTATGTATGTATATATATATATATATATATTATATATGTATGTGTGTGTATATTTATATATATATATATATGTTTATTGTATTTTTGGAATATTGTATCCTATTGTAACAATGTTTTGTGGACCCAGGACATACTTGCAAATGAGAGAAATCTCAATGTATCCATCCTGGTAAAATATTTTATAAATAAATGTCTGAGTCACTGGATTTAGAGACCATCCAATTCTCTAGTCTGGCAATTTACTCTGACATCTGTAGCTTCTCCCCCCCTCTTCCCCCATGGTCTTGTTGTTAGCATTCTAATCCCTATTGTGGCGTTGCCATGGATTATTTAAGAATAAGGATAATTTTGTCGTACTTGTAGTAATGAAGCTGCTATTCTTAAACCCAAAAAACAAAACTTACAGTAAATTTTCATTATTTACCTTTATACGAGTGGGTATTTAATGTGTCTAAGTGTGATCTCTAATCATTCTTTATTTTTAGTTTTGAGTTTTAGGACTAGAAATACTCAGATCTGTTATTGTGAGGAGGCATTACTTTCTTTTTTTTCTGGTTTTAGTTGTGATGACCTTGAAGATGCCCTACCTAAAGCGCCGTGGAGGTAGCATTGATCCAGGTGTCAAGGACCGTTTATGGCTAACTCTACTTTGGCCTCATGGACGTCCCACAGAAATACTATCGAGCTGTTTTGGGTCAGTGTTAAGCAATTAAATGTGTAAATATCATGTGCTTCTCTTAGTATTTATTCACGATACCTTTAAGACAAATACAATAGTATTTCAAAAACCATAGAATGAATAGCTATTTCTACTATTTTGTACTTTGTATTCCACTACAAAACATGAAGTGTTTGCTGAGTTATTTTAATAACTGTGTTCTTCTTTTAACATATCAAAATACTTTGTGTTCATTCTAGTAATGTTAACAAAAGGTACCACAAGAGGCTTTATATCTCAGTTTGGGATTATAGTAGAGTTTTTAAACAATTCCTTGATTTAGTATTGTTGGATAAACTTTTCAAATTGGTTAATATTTTTCAAAACACTTTTTTAAAATTATTTTTTCAAAATATTAAAATATCAAAAAAGTAAATAATTTTAAAAATATATCCAACAATAATAACTGAAGGCCAATATTTGACCCAAAAGTAAACACTGGGGTTGATTATCCTGAGGATTACTGCTGTTTGTTTCCACCTCACCGTGCCAACTTTTTATTACACACTTACAACAATATCTCCGTTGGATTCCTGTCTGCCAAAAATCTGTTTTCACACTCGCTACAAATAAATCTACTCACTCACTCTCTATTCATTAGTTTTCCTGCTACGCCATGTTCCAACTTCGCCTATGCATCTCCTACACCATTTTCTTAGTTCTTCACCATCAACATATTGTAAATCACATAAACTCAACCCTTCATGTCTTTTTGTAAATTCCAGGAAACCCAGCTTCTGGCAAATATTTTTGTCAGAGTTAAATCCTTCTACCAAGCCAATTTGGCCTAGTCTTCAGTAGGTGTATTCATTGCAATTCATTTCACCTGATCATTTTCTACTTTAATTCGTACTCTCCAACAGTGTACCCAACTCTCTGATGTCTTCCTGTCTTTGCCCAGTTGCGTATTATTTTATCTGATTCCACCTGATGCTTTTGTTTTTATTGTACTTGTAGGTGATTGAAAATGTACTATTCTTGTATTATTACTATCCATGTAAAGTGCCCTGTATACAAGTGATGTGTAATGTTAAAAAAAAGTTGTATTTTTTTTTTGTTTTTATAGGGAGGGGAGGGTTCTTTACATTTTTTTTTTCTGGGTTTAATTTAAATATTTTTGTTTTTGTAGAGGAGAACTCCTTCTCTGGGATCTAACCAAATCTGGGAAACAGAAATGGACAATATTGGGCTCTTCTGATGGACAGAACCACTCTCGAATTGTGTTTAATTTGTGTTCCCTGGTAACTGAAGAGGGACGAGAACTACTGCTCTCTACTTCTATGGACAGAGAAGTGAGTAAGGAAAATACAAACAATCTTACTTTTCAAGGGACTAATTTCTAAGACACAGCATGTAAAAAAAACAAATGCATTAAGAAGCAAATGTATGTTGTATACATTTTGATTCAATCTCATTATTAAATAAATCTAATATTTTACATTAAACAGATACATGTCAGAGTTTACAAATCATTGTCCCCCATCTTCTTCCCAAACTTAATTACAGTAGGGAAATAATGTTTGCCACGTGTTTTGTAATATATAAAAATAAGATATGGTGCCAAGTTCTAGTACAAGCTGTGATCTGACCTAGGTAGCATTATATATACACCCATTTGGACAAAGTGCTGCCGTTAATATTATTTTGGGGAGGCATTGTCAATGACCATTTTCATTTTTTGTGCATTTTTGTAATTATCTTTATATTTTACATTCCCTATTTCCTATAGTTTGTGCATGAAATAAATAAATACGGTAATAAGCTACATCGTTCTGTGTCTTACCTTTGCCTCCTCTGCCCCACCTCCTGAAGAAAAAAAAAAAATCAAGCACAAAGCATTTTCTTCTTGCTGGTTTTTGTACCTGTATATGTCATATCACAACTTCCTTCTTGTACTTCTCTCCTAAACTACAATGTTTACAAACATCAGCAAATACAGTAAAGATTTCTAGAAATTGTAGTTTAGCTTGCACCTTTTATAATTTTAGTAGCTAATTAAATAAGTCCTAAAAGTGAACAGAACTGAAGAGAGATAAATTGTGTTGTAGGACTCACAGAAAAAACAGCATACTGCAATATCTCTTTTTATTGAACAGCATCCCTTTTAGTGTGTCCCAATAGTGAACAGGCAACATTTCAACCCTTTTCTAGATCTTTCTCAAGCTTTGAAAAAGTCAAGGTTGAAACATTGCCTGTTCGCATTTAAGGAAAAATATAATTGGTGCTGCTCATAGAAGGAACTGTTGCTTGTGTTGTGTTTTGTTATTGCTTTTGTTTCTTTAAAAAGACATGAGACTCTGGAGAGAGAGCGAGCTCTGATTTTGATAATCCTCTACAATTAAACTTGTGTGGTGCTTGGTTAAACATGGCCAGGTCTTCAGATATCTGAATGATAGGCTCCTGATTGGCCAAGCTACTTCCTGGGGAGGGCAGCACTTAAGGCTAACAATGTAATATGAGTCTTTCTTATTTTTTTATTATTTTGGATTTGATGAACGTCTGCTGGCTAGTCCTATCTTTTTTGTAAAACTTTTCTTCTTCATTTAAAGGAACACTATAGTGACCCAGACCACTTCATCTCAATGAATTAGTCTGGGTGCTGTGGTCATTTGAGAAACTGCAATGTTTACGTTGCAGGGTTAAGTCTGTCAGTATGGCAGCCACTAAAGACTGTTCCACTGCACTGATCAAGTGAAACTCACATTATATGGAAGTCCCATAGTAAAGTATTAATTCAATGTTTTCCTATGGAGAAGTTTGTACACATGTGCTGCCACCAGAGGTGCTTCCACTGCACTAATCGAGTAAAATTCTGTCACGTGATGCGGAAGCCCACAGGAAAGTGTTGATTCAATGCTTTTCTATGGGTAAAGCAGCACACACGGCACGCTCTGTGAGGAGCATTGGATTGGACCTCAACAGAGGATGCCATGTCTTCTCCGTGACGTCGCTGGAGGTGAGGAGTGCCAAGTGAGCTTCGACACTGTAAAAAGCTAAAGAAAATACAATTTTTTATAGTTTTTATTGAATACAGTGGAGCAGACACCGGAATTCAGCTAGGGACGTTAAGAATACAGATTTCTATTCCAAACGCTATAGTGTTCCTTTAATAATAAAAATGTGTACGTCATAACTGTGCATACATCATCATAGTGCAGAGAAACTGTGAGTTTTCTAAACATTCCTGTGGGAATACAAAATCCTAAAATATTGCTTTATTAAAAAGATTAAAATACATGTTGTCTAAAATGAAACAATTGTTGCAAGGCATAATTATTTGACTACTGTGCATTCTAATTTAAAAAATAAAACTGCTTTATACTACTTCCCTGTTAAAACAAATATTAACTCTTGAAGTGCCAAACAAGCCTTTTGATGTGGAATTTATACTTTGTGAGCCAACAGTCAAATTTTTCCATTTTTCTGTGTTTAGGTGAAATGTTGGGATTTGGGTTCCCTTTCTTGCTGTTGGTCGCTGACATCATTAGGTGGATTTGCTTACACACTTGCTTTCTCCCCGGTGGCAGCTGGGTCTCTGGCTGTTGGGGTAGGAGATAGCATGATCCGTGTGTGGAACACGCTCTCTGTTGTCAATGCCTATGATGTGAAGACCCTGTGGCAGGGCATTCGATGCAAGGTCACTGCGGTAAGGAGCATTTTTGCATATTATATAAATTGGGTGGCATTGCTGATGCAGAGCTTTGTAGCAACTAACCTATGTAAGGACTGTACATGATATCGTTCTTATTTACTTCTTATTGACCTGCCCAACAGAAATGTATGGATTACTGGTAATGTGTTCTTCTGTTAAGGTATATCAATGAAATCTAAATGAACAGCACTCAATCCATTAGCAATAAATGGGTGCAACCAGGCCAGGGGCTAGCACATATCCCCGCAAGGCTAGATCCAGAATAGAAGAAAAGGTCCAGACTCTCCACTGCACAGCAAGGCACATTTGTTGGGTCGATGTTTCACAGCAATGTTTTAAAGCCTCAAAGGGTCTTTATCAACGTTTCAACCTTTTGAAGGATTGATACATTTCTGTGAAACTTTGTTCCAATAAGTTTGCCTTGCTAAGCAGTAAAGTGCCTGGATCTGTTCTTCTATTCTGGATCTTCTGTTAAGTTATAACATTTAATCTATGCAATAAGCTATTCAAAGTGTCAGTTAATGTAGAATGTGAGGTCACTGCATCATGCATGTGTTTTCCTTTTACTCTCCATGGGAAATTTTGCTCCCCTCCCATTGATTTTGAATGCAGTGCAGTGTGTCTTATAGAGACACTGCTCTTTTACTCGACCAACATTTTTTCTCGTATCACCATGTCACTGAATGGACTAAGTGGTCAAGGAAGCCAGAGAAGCATGTCTGCTTGCATGGATCAGACATGCTTACTATACATCAAAGCACAATTTCCCTTGCCAGTTTGAGAAATCAGTTAAGCTGAAATGCAGTAAAGCTGTTTTTTCATAAAGCATTCTGGAAGATGATATATGTGTGATTTTAATTTTTTTTTTATAATATTCCAATTGAGTCTTTCCTTTTTCTACAAAGAACCTAGTAAATGAACAAGTGCTTTAAAATTTCACAGGATGATGACATGACCCCTTAGCTTCTTGGGACCAGTACTTAAAGGAACAAATGTGTATTCCCAGACCACTTTATTGTTCTGGGTGCCTATAAGGTCCTTGACTGAAGGGTCGGGTAAAGTCGTTACGTGTTGGCATTGGAGCCACGTCATTGAGATTGGCTGGGGTAGTCCCTAACTTGTATTTCTGTTTTAAAATATTGTTCAGTAACCTAAATTTCAATGCTTTTGTGTATTCATTGAAAGCGCTCTGTTCTATATACTGAATCTAGATCCTAGCTGTGGATTTCATATGTAACCATGCTCTCCCACAACTGTTGGTTGCCGCATTCACCAATGTGGGGACATGCACATTTTTTGTACCTGCTACTCCTGCCATATTTAAAGTGTACATTTTTCTAGTGCATACTTCAATGTCGCCAGCATTATGTATAATCTAAAACCTTAAATCATAGGTGCCCTCTAAATTATACTTGCTTATTTGTGGAATGTTTGTCTATGTAATTAGTGTGTGTAAACTGAGATGTATACTTTATTTTTTATATTAATGTTCTGAAAATGACCAAGATTTTAGGCTAACAAGTAAAATAAACCATATAGACTATACTAATGTTCACAGTTTTCAGATCTCTCCAAACTTGGTATGCTCTGCAGAATTTTCTTCTTGTTTTGTTATATTCCTCTCCTCTGTTGTGTGCTCTGTGCAGTTGTCTTGGCATCCAACCAAAGAGGGGAGTCTAGCATTTGGTACTGATGATGGGAAGGTTGGAATTTATGAAGTCTACTCAAACAAGTAAGAATATAACCCCTCTCTGTTCCTTATTATGCCTTCACTAGAGCTATGCATTTCTTGTTTGTGCAGCTTGTTACTTCAGTTTTCTGTAAAAATATTAGCAAGACCTTCCTTTGTACGCATATATTGGCAGTTAGAAACCTTGAAACATAGCACATGATTTTTTATGTTTATATGTGTTGCATTTCATTAATATTTCTGTACATTAGTCAAACCAGATAATAAGTACAGTTTGCTTGAGAAAGGACATGGATCAGTACTAAAAAGTTCCTCTTCGCCAAGTGGTGCATTTTCCATGTAGATTTGATCAATACAGCACCACGCTGCTCACTCTCACATGGACATTGGGCACAATTTGTGCAAGCTGTACTAATTGATGCTACTGGAACTGCACTGATTGGTGCTACATAACGCTCACAGCAGGGTTGCATATACACCCCAATACAGGGATGAGGTTTCCAGCAGCAAATGGGGAAATCCTTATTATCAAAACAGAGAAGGGAAGAGCAACAGGGTCGGATTGATAGGACTACCTCAAAGTATGAGGAATACATGGGGAGAAAGTGAGCTGGACTTGAGACAAGTAGAACAGAAAAGTGTAAATATACACCCCTTTCTTCACACTGCATTCACATACATATATACATTCCACGGAGTAACACTCACCCAGCATTCACACATTCACTGGCTTTTAAAAAAAAAAAAAAAATCTTTATTTTATTTGTGCATGAAGTAACAACAAGCGTGCAGAGCCACGACAGCCGCTGCAAGCAGATTCATAGTATTTCAAAGTGTGGCAGGCTAAGCAGCACATTTTTTTTTTTTTTTTCTCATGAAAATAACAGGCTATAAGACATTCGTGGTTTGCAATAAACATGCTATGCTAAATGTGTATATAACAGAATTGTTCTCGCTTAAAGGACCACTATAGTGCCAGGAAAACACACTCGTTTTCCTGACACTATAGTGCCCTGAGGGTGCCCCCACCCTCAGGGACCCCCTCCCGCCCGGCTCTGGAAGGGGGAAAGGGGTAAAAACGTACCTTTTTCCAGCGCTGGGCGGAGAGCTCTCCTCTCCGCCTCCGTTACGCCCCGCCGGCTGAATGCGCACGCACGGCAAGAGCTGCGCGCGCATTCAGCCGGTCTCATAGGAAAGCATTTACAATGCTTTCCTATGGACGCTGGCGTGCTCTCACTGTGATTTTCACAGTGAGAAGCACGCAAGCGCCTCTAGTGGCTGTCAATGAGACAGCCACTAGAGGATTAGGGGGAAAGCTTAACCCATTCATAATTATAGCAGTTTCTCTGAAACTGCTATAATTATGAAAAAATGGGTTAACCCTAGAAGGACCTGGCACCCAGACCACTTCATTAAGCTGAAGTGGTCTGGGTGCCTAGAGTGGTCCTTTAATGTTATGGTAAGGTGTGTAGCCCTGCAATTCGTGTGTGGACAGGCGTTTATAACTAAGTCAACATTGCAGCAATTCAGGTTCTCGCTTGGTTATTTATATTTGACATTATAAATCATGCTGCAGTGCGGTTGCGTTGTGCTAGTTTGTGCGTTGCTTGTAGGGTTGCTGTGTAAGTGCGTGCTTATGAGTGCCATGTAAACTTTGTGTGCATAAGGTCACTACCTAGGCTATTCAGTCAAGTCTAGCTACTAGAGATCAGAACGTGAGCTAGTATAAGAAATATAACTGAAATGCATACATTTAGTTTTGTGACTCAGATAACTAGCTAGATATGGAGGTATGAGTAATTATCACATTAGGTTGACATGCTAATAAACTGTGACAGGCTAATATTCCACTGGGTACTACACTGTATAGATTTTAGATTCCATCAACACACTGTATAGATAAAATAAAGAGAGAGCTTGAATAGAACAGGATTGAACTGGAACATAATTGTATCTTATTTATGTGTCTGTGTAAATTTGTTTTTTGTTTCTTTAGACCGCCCCAGATTTCAAGCACATATCACAAAAAAACTGTTTATTCCCTATCCTGGGGCTCTCCACTGCCTCCAGTCTCACTTGGTGAGTTTCATATTTATGATTTGTCAAATTACTGCTTAACTTGCACAAGCAGTTTAATGAGTCCCCAAAGATTGCACGGTTTAGTGTTTGTTTTTTCCCTTTTCTTTCTTTCTTTTTTTTCTTTTTTCTTTTTTTTTATTATTTTCGATTAAGGAAACAAATAAAACCCACCACAAACATTCTATACACTTGGTTGCACCCCGTCTTACTGATGTTGTAATAATTCTATGCTCTATAATTGAGGGGTTTTATTCATTGCACAAGTAGTTTTCATGCATTTTTCCCCAAATGAATGAGAGGTTATGAGTGAGTCTTTACCACATGCGTACTTTTGCTTCACTCAAATTAGAAAACAAATGAGAGAATTTATGTCTAAATGTTCCTCAAAAAGAACATTTAGATGTAGATTCCTGCTGGATGGTGAGCCTCTACCTCTTGAAAGATGGTGAGGCGAATGATTGCTTGCTTTTGAATTTAAGAAATTTGCATGTGAAATTATTCAAACAAAATCTGTATGGTGTTTTGTCACAGACATTCTTCCTCATTTAGTTTTAATCAGTTATGAAAGCATATTAATATATTTTTATAAGCTAATGTCAAATGAAGCAAGCCTTTCTTAAAATTAAGTCCATTTTCATTTGACAAAGTTGATCCCTTAATAAAAGTTCCAGATTCATTTCATGTTTTGGAATTTACGAACATTTATTTTTTATTTATTTATTTAGTTTTCACACAGAAGGAAAGTTATTGGGGGACTTGCTGAAGTTTTGTTCAGTGCCTGTTCGGTTCAGTTTCCTTACTAAATTGAGTTATTTTTATTTTTGTCTATTCATTTTTTCATAAGTCTGTTTTCTTCATCCTGGGAGCTTTCTTTCATAAGCATCAGCATTCTCAAATCAGCACTTCTGTGCACTTATTTCACTGTAACCTTAAATGTCTTCCATGGTGTGATTCTTACAGCAGCAGAAGGAGAGAAACCCGCTTTTACTTTATACAGCTGCGGTGGGGAGGGGATTATCTACCAGCACAACCCTTGGAAACTGAATGCCGAGGCTCACGATATTAACAAACTTATCCGCGACACAAATGACATCCAAGTAAGTCTTTCTAAAACCAATGCGTCAGTATAAGCAATAAAACGCTGCACCTTCTTTACATTTGTTTGTAAAGTGAAGTTTAAGTTTGTAGCTTTTTGTTAGTTTATCTTGACGACTGTCCTTGCAGATATGTCAGTACAAATCATTGAATACTCTTTAGTCGAATTCTTTAGTAAATAAAAATATACCTTTTAGAATGAGGCCTACTGTTTAAAGATTGTCGGTTATCTCATCTGCAAAATGTACTTGCATTAATTTATAAATTATTTATCTATCCTGTCCAAACAGAGATGTAAACATCAGAAAGGCTAAAGAAAACACAAACCGTGCCAAGTGTCATCAGCGGTTCATTTCTCAATCTTACAATACACTACTCTGTCATATAACTGAGTACTGTAATCTACACCCAAAAAAAACATATTTCTTTCTAGTATTCTATGAACTACATTATTTATATACATATTTTCCTCTTGAATTGGCTACATTTTAATAAAGTGTAATAGTAAATGACTCCCTCTAAGACCATATCTATCTCTTACATTATTCACTGCAATTTGCAGTCCAAAACTTGCTTTGCTTTCCATTCGGCATGTTCATAATGAAATGGAATGTTCTCGCTGAGTGTTCCACTCTTAGATGTTTTGCCCATGGCTATTTATTATAGTGACCCATTGCGTTTAAGGTCAAAGTTCTACCTTTAGAGTCAGCTGCAAACTACAAATAACTAATTATTGTCTAACCTATGACCAATTGTTGTTGCATTTAGTTTATGAGGATTTAATCTGCGCAATCTTCAGTGTAAACTTTTTGCACATTATTTAGGAAATATATTTGTATGTTCTTTGTGGTGACATTTTCCACCTCCTCTCCCACCCAACACACACATCTTTCTCTCTTCTTCTGTTAAATACATTTTCTTCCATGTCAATCTTACCTAGCACAAGTTACCAATCCACACAGAATTGAACTGGAGATCAGATGGGCAGCATTTAGCCATCGGCAATGAGGATGGGTAAGTGGATCTCGAGTTCTAGGTAGACATTATATGAGTAATCCTCATTGTTACCTTTATCTGAATTTCTATACTGTCATTGTACTATTACTTTCTGCTCTTTTTGCTTACTGTATTTTATTTCTTTTGCACATTGGTGGCTGCATCTCCTTGTGACAACGATGCAGGAACATTGAGATTTTCCGTACCCCAAACTTAAAGCTCATCTGTACTATCCAGCAGCATCACAAGTTGGTGAACGCTCTGAGGTGGCACCATGATCATAGCGAAGATGCCAATCTCCACTTTCTTCTGGCCTCTGGATCTAATAATGCTGTTGTCTACATACATAACTTGAAGGGAGTTCTAGGTATGAACCTGTGAATAACATGTTTTGTGGGGGGTATGGTATGAGCAGCATGACCAATATGTTGTCTGCCTAATGTTTTAGAACAGGTACCATTAATGGGGCATAGATGTTCCACAACTGTTCCCATTGTCTATTTTCAGTTGCCGAACCAGCAATGAAACTGATAACGAATGTATCATTATATAAAACGGGCACTTTAGCTTGCCTTAAGTACCATTTCCCATTCAAAGTATAAGATGCGATTGTTATAAATCGTAATACAGTGACTATTTCTGTGCTAGACTACATTATAAAGTGCTTTGAAAGTACAGAAATATTGTCCCCTCTGTTACAGATTTGGTCTAGCCCAAGTGTAGCGGACACTGTACCATGATTGACCGATATTCTCTCAATGATTAAGCCATGTGACATAATGTAAAGGCTAACTTATCTGCTATTCTGTAAATGTTTCAGTTTCACCCTTCTTGATTTACTAACATTTGCCCTATCTCCTAAGTCTTTAATGCCCTCTTCTATTTTTTTATACAGAGTTAGCTCTCTTTCAGTCACACTGGAAACCCTATCTCACTCTAATTACTCTTCACTGCCATAACCAAAACTGTTGATTGGACTTTTCTAAATTTTTCATCTTTTAAATGCAGAGAGCTCCTGTGATTCTCCTGTGACCATCACCGAACCATTCCGTACCCTGTCTGGGCACACTGCAAGAATCACAAGCCTCTCTTGGAGCCCTCATCATGATGCCAGGCTGGCATCGGCCAGTTATGATGGCACAGCCCAGGTAAACTAATTTATTAATCCATTTTAATAGAGTTGCTTTACTTGCAAGAACATACTTTCCCTGCTCTTATAGACTTATTTTTTCCCATTTGACTTCCTTCCATTATTTAACTTTCATTTTAAAAGAACACTTTGTATGTGTGCTTGTGTATATTGGTGGAATAATGTGTTTTTGTAGCATGGTGATTTGAGTCTGAATGTGCATCTTTTTTTTTAGATGTGATACTTGTATTGCCTACATTGATGTTTGTGGGATAGAGGTTGCATTCAGGAATACCATTGTACAGCTTTGGTTGTGTATTCATTGTATACTGGTAGTCTTTATCATAAGAAGAATGTGGATTATGTGTCAGTCACACATAATGAAACTTTTTTCCATGTCAGGTTTGGGATGTTCTGCAGGAGGAACCACTCAGTAATTATAGGGCACATAAAGGAAGGCTCCTCTGTGTTCAGTGGTCTCCTTTGGAGCCAGACCAGGTGTGGAGTGGAGCAGATGACTTCTCTGTCCATAACTGGTCCATAGCAAAGCAGGAGCACAGCCGGCCTCCCAAAGGTAAGTGCAAAACCTTGTCTTGTTCCCTAGTACAGTGGTTCTTAACATTTGTTTTGGGACCCAACAATTTGTCACTGTATTAATTTAATGGGTCTTCACTTTTTTTGGTGCAGACAGGTTATTCACCAAGTGCTAGACAGCCATCCACAGTACATTGTGTACTTTAGTGGCATTGTATTCTCTTTTGACACTGGGAATAGTCAAATTAAAATGTTTTGCAAACATATTTTAATAGTAATCCTGTTAATTTTCCAGTTGCAAAAGCAGATGCCATGTACAAAAAGTACCACTTCCTTAGTGCAATGCAAGACAATTTGGTAATTGAGCTCCTAAAATTCCTGAGTGGAAATCATTGTGCTTTAACCTGTAACTATTACTTATTCAGAGTCATATTTAAAAATATAAATAAAAATGATGTGCTAACAAATAGTAAAAAAAAATACTTGTATTTAAAAGGGATTTTAATATAATTTTCTGGACAAATTAGAAATAAACAATAAAACATCTAGTGCAGAGCATCTGTACAATTAACATGTAGGAACAAAACAAAAAATCTTTTGGTATTCACCTCACTGGGTCTGAGTGGATTGTGTGCCCCTCACACTTTAACAGTCGCAGAGGGATCAGATTAGTGATTGGTGGATCCACCAGGAAAAAACCCGAACTGGTAGTGCCTTATAAAACTTTTATTTTCTTCAATAGAGATAAAGACGTTAAAATAAAGAAGCAGGTAGAGCCTGAGGAGCCTAAATGCTAGAAAGTCACTTTTATCATTATTGTACTCGTGGCGCTTCCTTGCTGCACACTGTCTTATGTCTATCTCCTCACATGACGTGTTTCGCTCCGCCCCTTAGGACTTTTTCAGATGCAGTGAACATAGTCTGGTACAGCAGTAGTATGTACTGTTACAAAATGTAACACTATACTGGTGATCGAATCGAAATTTTAAAAATTCTACATCGAGGTTGTTGAACAAATTAAAGGGGCGGGGGGGCGGGGCCTGACCGCTGAGAGCAGAGGATGCAAACTCGTATAGCTCCTGCTCTGCGGCAATAAATAAACGGATTCAGACAGCCATAACGGGATCTGATCGGTCCAAAAAGACCTCCAGATGACAGGCAAAACCCAGGGGCACACAACAATGCCACACAAGTTACGATCCCGGCTTACTGCACCTGTGAGGACTACACACATGGCCGGCGTGAGGGAGACGGCCGCTCCCCCGCTGGCACTGGCTGCTGACAAGCGGAGACCAGACCCTCGTTCTCCCCCCCCCCCCATGGACCGGTGGGGGTCATCCCGGTCCATCCTCGGGAGACCCTGATACAGCCCCGCAAGAAAGCCGTGGCGACTCAGGGGCCTGCCACAAGCGACGACGCAGCACCCAAAATGGTGGAGGTGGTGTGCTTCCCCAGCACTCACAGTGAGCTGACAGAGGCCGAGCATCGGCTGGACAGGGCCTTCCAAATCTTCAGGGAAAAGCTGGAGGCCCTTCTGTTCCCGTCGGACCCAGAGGCTGAGCCGGTAACCGGGCCACACGCTCACCCACACAAGATCAGGCGGGAGGAAGCACAGGCTCCCCCCGGTATCGGACCGCACAGAGTGCCGGAGGCAACGAGACAGCCACAGGCAGCGGGAGATCAGAGATCAGATCCGCAAGAACCCAGTCAAGCCCAAAGACTTACCTCAAGGCCCAAAGCTTCACCAGCAATGGCGAAGGAGCGGCGCTTACAAATCATGACAGACAGACAAACGCTTCCATCACCTACCGGAGGCTACTACGGGGGGCCGTCCACAATACCTCCCCAGGCCGAAGACCACACGGAGTCAAACTCCGAAACACTGACCACATCGCCGGAGGCTTGCCCACCACTGGCGGCGGCATAACACCCAAGCCCCACTCAGCACCCAACGAAGGGACGACCCGGCCTCTCTGAGTAACCAAGTCGGTGGATGACGGGTGCAGACCTTCATAATGACCTGGGACTGGAGGATGGCCGTTGCCAACCCGCACTATGCCGCACCCCAATGGAATTCCCGGAATGACAGTGCCACCCTTCCCACTCTACCGGCCCGCGCTGCGGTCATACCAAGCAGAGGTATAGGCTGAACTAGCCCTTCGAACTGGCATCCAACCAACAACACTCTCAACCAAGGGCAACTGGGGACCTAGCCTGAGCAGCCCTCATGGACTCTTCTTGCTGGATTATCACCTACAGTTAAACTCACCACGCTGCTCACTGGCATAAATTTTCCGCTACATGAAACTAAAACGTGTTCTCAATTTTACCTTTTTTTCTACAAACATGAGTATACAGACTACCCATGGGCCTCAACCACCCACTGATCAGCTGACTCTCTCACACAGGCAGGCAGGCCTCAGCAACGCCTCTCTGAGGGACAATATTTTACCAGCGGCCGGCTCAGGCTAAGTACCTCTCAAAAATTACGCTGACTGTATTGAACTTGCCGTACCATAATGATTAGACAGCCTAGTACTGTCAACTCTGCCAGGATCTCACTGTTTATAAGTTAGCCTAATGGATACCCTCAGACTGCCCCTGTTTTGCACCCTCTTCTATGACACACTCTCTGTTGCTGACAAGAAATAATCAGCCCCAGCACTTTAAACTTAGTCTCACACACTATAATGCATCAACGCAACTATACCAAATATTAAGTCATTATAGTCTACAACCTGTTTAGCTATACCTGTCAATGTGGAAATGTCATACCAAGCCACATGTTATTGATGGCACAATTTATGCTTATGATTTCAAACACTAGTCACTACCTTACACCTAGGTATAACGGTGAAGCTAAAAAGTTTAACACAGAACAAGGAATGTTAGCATGTACCCTACTGATACCACATGTTTTTTCTGCTATGACCTCACATACTACTTATTTACTGCGTGCCTAAGTTATTACATAGCCTAATGTTACTTTTAATAGTCTATCTGGATAGGCATGGCTACTAGCTACAACATGCTTTTGTTACAAGACAAGTTAACACAATTAAAAAATGAGGCATCACTACTCAGGAAATGTAATCTTTCATCACCTCTGCTGAATCCACTTAGAGAAGGAAGTGAAGCAACGAATCTAGTGTCGCATCACTTCCGCGAAGGTGAAAATAATCTACCTAGATATGGGGGTAACCCAGTACTGCACATATACCACAACTAAAGTCAAATATATGCTAAAGGGGTATACAAGACACAAGTAATTTCCCATAAGTATAAACAAATCAACAAATAACTTAATTGCAAAGGGGGTGGAGAACAAATTCTAAATACCTCTACAGTATAGGTGTTAATTGACTAGACTGTAAAAAATTACCATTTAGAACCAATATCTAAAACATTTCTTGAAAGGAGCAGTTCATCAGAGCCTTTAATAGATTTCCCAGAGGGCTAAAAGAACTACAAACGTCTCTTAATAAAAATGTAATCTTAATGTAAACATTTGAGACAGTTTTTCTGGTAATATCCAGACATAAATTACATTTAGTAGCACAAGTTTCTGTGTTTTTAGTACAATTTATGAACTACTATCAACGTCACTCTCCGTAGTAAAAATATAGTAAAGGGAAGCTGGGAATCACATAAACCGGGAAACAAAGGTTACCAAACCTGATCTCCTATTGCTGACTGGGAAAATGCAGTAACCAATGTCACAATATATTGGCTTTCCAAGTATACTACAAGCCCCATCTGCCACCACCACCCCTCCCCACTATCTGCAAACAAATAAAACCATTACTTGCTCCAAAAAAAAAAGGGCAAATAAGTGTTAAGCAACACAGTGCCTGATGCGTGTTTTGGCGCTATAGCTGCACCTTCACCCGGGACACAGAACCAAGCATTGAAAGTGCCAACGTGTATATAATATCTTTAACTTTGAGCAATGAAGCTGATCCACCAATCACAGAGCAGAGGGAGGGGAAGAGACGAAGGAAAATACCCTATGTAACACGAGCACCAATCTGCTATTTTGGAATGAGTCCGATTTCAAAACCTTCTTCCAGAACCACACCTCCAATCAAACATAAAGGGAGTGATCCACAATAGTGTAGAGCACATCCACTCCTTATACCACTAACAGTAAATATCGAGGGAGTGGTAGCATACTGCTAGCACTAACCCCATCATTAAATTACCAGTTAGAGAGTATGGCAGGTGGTACCCTTAGTACCCACAGCCAATCTGAAAATACTTTGGCCGAAAAAACAACTGCAAGACGCCTCCTTCCAACGCGGCTCCTCCTGGAATCTCAAAAGATTAACACCCACACTTCAGTGATTACATGATGATTCTTGGCAATAAAATTATTTATATCTTTATACTCATTGGCACTTATTTGTGTCTTGTATGCCTTTAGGGTATATTTGACATGAGTTGTGGCAAAAATAAAAAAATAAAAAATGTTTTGCTCCTATATGCCAACTGTACAGATGTTCTGGACTAGATGTTTTATTGTTTATTTTTAAAGGTGCTGTCCAGAAAACTACATTGAAAAAGCTTTTAAATATAAGTATTTTCTGATTTATTTATTACTTGTTACACCATTTTTATTTAAACTTTTAAATATCACTCTGGATGAGTAATAATTACAGGTTAAATCACAATGATGTCTCTCTGGCATTTTCGGAGCTCAATTACCCAATGGTCTTGCATTGTACTAAGGTTAATAATAAGGGATATTCGCTTTATTCTGTTTGGTTGCTGCATTCATTTTCTGCATGTGATATTTGTTTGCACGTTATATTACCTCCTTGTTGGCGTTTTTAACTTCACTACTTTAAACACTGGCACATATTAAAATGTGCCTTTTTATCCACGTATTGTTAAAAGTTTATTGGAAGAACAGCATGGAAAAACCTGCTTTTTGCAGCTATTTTCTAATTATTACATGATTGCAGGCAAAAAAGCAGCTGAGCTAGAAAAGAAACGTTTTGTTCTGACCAAACCTAAACCTAAGAAAAAGAAGAAACCAGACAGCCCTAAACAAGAGGTGACCGCAGATGTAATGGGAGGTGAAACAGATAATCTTTCTTGTGCACAGAATGGGACATCTGATCAAGAGGAGGATCATATGACTTCTGAGCAGATGACTTTGGAGAAAGTTCCCCAGGAAGGTACTGTACCTGTAGTGCAAAGATGGTGACCTAGTTTCTGCAGTTATTTAGGGCCAGTAACATATTTAGGTTCTTGGCTGCCCCAGGCCTGTTTAATCTATACACTCCCTCACAAATATACATAGACGGACAATTATTCACAGTCCCATAGATAGCAAAGGCAAACATACACACACACACACACCATTACTAGCATACACAGTCACCCAACTGCTTAGAGGTGACTCTGGACTTGAACATGATTCCCCCACTGACATCCATGTCCCAGATAGAGTGCTAGTCCCTCGCCTATTATAATAATAAAGATGCCTAAGGACTCTTTCATTTTAACACTTTAGTATTTTAACTGCTCTGTATACAGCTATGTGCTTCATATGGTTTATTAGGCTAAACGCCCGAACATACTGCCTGCCCGCTGCCCGGAACGGCATGTCCTGGGAGTTGAACGATACAAATTTCACATCCCTACTCCTCCTGTATGAAAACTGTATTCTTAAATGTTTTATTTTTTTTATTTTCTTAAACTTGCAGCTGCTTCAGAAACTCAGGCTCAACCCATTTTGTCATCATCACCTGCTTTAGAGGACCATAGCTTAAGCCCATCCCCTAAGACCATAACTCTAAGAAAAGATCATCTTAAAGACAGGACAGGTAAAGGTATATCTCATCCTGTATGGATTTTTTTTCTGTCTTATCAGGAAATCTCAAAATTAAAACATTGAAAAAGATGTATTTTTGCCATTTCAGTGTAACACCTTAATATGCAGTGATCATATGCTAAAACTGATCTAAAAATGGCTTTGTTTTTATGTCTGACCTATGTTGATCTCTTACGAAAATGGGAGCAGTATTAGCAATAATTGTAATGAAATGGCACTGATCCTGAAGAATGGGAGGTAACTCCTAGTATTTGAAGTAGAAGGAGAATTGGTTAAGAGGGCTAGGGATGTAGATTGAAAAGAGTAAGACTCAAATGTAAGACTGCCTATTGTAGTGGTTCTGGTGCAAACAGACTGTCCCTGCAGTCTCTCAATTGTAAACACTGCCGTTTGTAAGTAAAAACATTGTTTAGATTGAGATGTTAGAACACCTCAATGAGACAGGAGCCATTAGAGCTGCTTTCTGTCGTGGTCTTGGGACATTTGCAAGACCGACGTTCTACGTCTTCATGCTCAGCATGATGACACAAAATTCTTCCCATAGAAATGCATTGAGTTAATGCGTTTCTATGAGGTGATGCTGATTGGCGCAGTGGGCCATTATATAAGCAAGCATTTGACAACCTACTAGTGATCTTAGCCGAAAGAGGAGCGGCAGCTTGCTCAATGGCTGGTTAGAAGGTAAGTATTCTTACTTATTTTAGTGTTACTAAACTTGCAGGAGGCCACACTGTCGTTAGAAATACAGGTTTGTATTTCTAAAATTAGAGTACTCCTTGAACTTTAAGTAGTTAAAATAAGAAATCTTTATCAAATATTCTAAAAGCAATGCAAATGCAGACTGTCATTGTGCCGAGGTTGCCGGTGACAATGCCTGTCTATATATGTGGTCATAGGGATGACTAAGGCTTGTAGAGACTGATAATGACCACTAGATGGTGTCAATATCTTTCGAAATCACCAGTCATACCCACTTGGCATGTGAGATTAAATGTAAAGGTATACTTCTGCTACCACAACAACACTATAATCAAATTATTAGCAGCCAGATTACTAAGAATTAAGGTAGGAGGAACTAAGCTGAATTATTAATTTAAACTCACCCTACAGATGATAGCGATGCACTCCTAAACGTTGCATGAATTAGAACTCAGTCATAGCAATTGGGGATGAATGGTTATGACTAAGTGTTCTAATTAATGATTAGTCCTTAATATACCTGAAACAGCAAAAGAATTGGAAATATAACAAAAATAAAAAATATGTAGTAACAAAAAACTACCAGTAGGTGTCACCAGAGGTTAAGAAAAAAATATTGAAATTTAGTCTTTCTATGTCTAGTAATAAAATTTAACTTTTAATCTGTTAATACATAAAATAAAACAAGTATGACAAGCAATATTAAAATAGGGTCAGTAGTCATAAATCTGTCTGTAGGATACCAGTACAGATCCTATTTACAAAGTTGATCGTTTAGTATATTTAACCAATATCAATCAAAATTACTACACAAGATAATCAGTCCTGAGGTGTCACCCTTAGTTATATAAAGCAGTTCCAATTAAAGGACCACTATAGTGCCAGGAAAACATACTCGTTTTCCTGGCACTATAGTGCCCTGAGGGTGCCCCCACCCAGCTCTGGAAGGGGGAAAGGGGTTAAAACTTACCTTTTTCCAGCGCTGGGCGGAGAGCTCTCCTCCTCTGATCCTCCTCTTCTCCTCCCCGTCGGCTGAATGCGCACGCGCGGCAAGAGCTGCGCGCACATTCAGACGGTCACATAGGAAAGCATTCATAATGCTTTCCTATGGACGCTGGCGTGCTTTCACAGTGAGAAGCATGCAAGCGCCTCTAGCGGCTGTCAATGAGACAGCCGCTAGAGGAAATAGGGGAAGGCTTAACCCATTCATAAACATAGCAGTTTCTCTGAAACTGCTATGTTTATAGAAAAAAGGGTTAACCCTAGCTGGACCAGGCACCCAGACCACTTCATTAAGCTGAAGTGGTCTGGGTGCCTAGAGTGGTCCTTTAATACTGAGTTTAACTAAGGATGTAATCCTCAAATTGTTTTGTTTAGCAGTTACACAAGGCAGATAGACCTATCTCTGTGCTGTTAATATAGATACATTTCTCATACTGTGTATTAAATCATTACAAAGTAGCAGTCTTTGATTTATAAAGTATCTGTCTGGTTGATTCTAAATAGACCTGAATATCTTGCATAGAATAGTGCAGACAGATCAGAAAAAATGTATCAGTGAAAGAAAAAACGGGTTTTATTCTATAGAACAGACCTGCTGTATTTCTGAGCTTCTATTGCAGGGGTAGGCAACCTTTTAGCAGCACTGTGCTGATATAGGATTGTGATGTCCCATAGCATGTCGATCCTTTTTTTGCATTGAGGTGTGTATGTTGCTGTAGTCTGCTTGTGTTATTATACTGTAATTGCTTTGTATCGTTGTATTTGTGCGTATATGAGCTATTATATTGTATATGTTCATTAGTAGTTTATGGTATCGTGTATGATACCTATGAATGTGGGCTGTGTATGGGGGCTGCTTGTGGAATTGTGTGTGTGGATTGGTATGTCACATTGTGTGTTTGGTAGTATGTGGGGGCTGTTTGGGGTATTGCATGTGAGAGGCTGCATGTGGGATTGTGTGCATGTATGTGGATTGTTAGTGGTGTTGTGTTTGTGCGGATTGTGTGTATGTTTGTTTGTGGGCTGTTCATATTATTTGGATGAGGGAAGGCTTATTCTGCATTTCTGTGTATATCTAGCAGTGTGGGTGGCTTCACTGGGTTCCAGTGGGGACCAGGCTGGCCAGGTACAGGTCAAGGACAGAAGCTGCAACAGCAGCTGCAGGCTGCTCTACTTCAGTGTGGATTCCCATTCACAAGTGCTGTGAGGAACTGATCTGAGATCACTTCCTCTATGTGCTGCAATGCATAAATTGAGGATTTTCCTTCACCACCTTTTCGTATTAGCAGATATTTAAAGTTTCACTGAGACTCCTGATAGGCCAGAGCCTGTTTGGCTCTAGCAGCCTTGAGTGCCGTGCAAAGACACCTCGAGTGCCGTGCATGGCACTAGTGCCGTAGGTTGCCTACCCCTGTTCTATTGAATAGTTCATATTGAAATAAGCAACACAAGGTACTTAAATCAGTAAGCTAATGCTTATCTTATAGCTAGTATGTAGTTCTTGGGGAAAAGATTCTTCTCTCATTTACCTTCAAGGGCAACCCTTAATAAAAAAAAAAAACCTGTCTATTCTGTCTTATGCCCACCACTCAAAATTAGTAATAAGTGAAAGTAAATAGTCGATCTTAGGACTGCTAGATCCCTAAAAATGTCCAGGACGTCTATACATCAGGTCAGTATTCTGTCAGTGCAGATCTCTGCAATTACTGATTAGATGTCCTGAGCCCCTCACGCGCGCGTTTCGCCAGAATCGCTCATCTCTAATTAAGGCTCGATAAAAGCTTTTGTTCATAGTCCTTAATATACCTTCAGCTAAAAGTCTAACTAGTGTATATGTAAAAACCGCTTGTAAAAGCTGCAGGTCTCTTTTCTAAAGCTTTTGCAATCTCTCCTCTGTTAACTCCGCCCACACTTTCGATGGCTGTCCAATCCCAGACTTCCCAATGCAGCTCAATGAGAAGTCTTTGTAAGGCAGATGCTCTTGGCAATTGCTGCCTCTTAGATTTAGCTCCACTGAACTTAACAAACCAGGAAATAACACAACCTGTTTTCTAACGAACAGCCGGGGTGTTGGACCAAGGTTATCTTATAAAAGTGGAAATTTCTATTGAAATCTACTCTTTTTTTCAAAAAACCAAAACATGATGACACATTCTCCACACCTAAAGCACTTCAGGAAGTTAAGGTGCTTTAGAGGCCTAGAGTGTTCCTTTAAGTTTCACTTTTTTTAAATCTATTTTCATGATCCCTTCAACCAATTTTCCTTTGACTTTTGTCAATGGCTCACATGTTACTGTTGCAGATCAGAAGTTCTTAACTTGTTCTGTAAAAGTTATAATACTACATGATTACTCTGCTTGGTTTAAATGATTTAATCCATGCTTCCTTTGTTGCTTGTTCTCTCATAGAGTTCCCCAGCAGGAAAAAAAAGCCTCGCTCTCTGCTTCCACTCAGCACCAGCAAGGATCACCGCTCCAAGGAAGATCAGCATCAGGATTGTGTGAAACTGGCAACAGCTTTATGTGTTAAAGGTAGCAGGAATGCATACTTAGTTTTTTTTACAATATTCTGTGTATACCTAAGGAGTGATTCATTAAATGCAAATTGCTATTTTCCTCAGTGCCTGATAGTACGTGTGCAATTTTTTTGAATCAGATTTGTGAATATGAATGTGAGCTAAAACGTTTTATGTTCTTTCCTTGTATAAGCCACAACCACTTTTTCCATATAAATCCTTGTGTTGGGGTGCCTAGCACACAGTGTTATTTTCCCTTGAAGCTGTATACATTGCAGCAGATTAATCTTTTGCAATTCTTATTATAGGCTAGTAAGTGAATTTGTGATAATGTTGTCACTCACATAAATAATAATATTCATACAGTCCAGTGCTAATTATTGCAATGAGGTTACAAACAAACCAAATTACTATTGCATTGAAGAAAAGCTGATGTAAGCCTTGCTGGTTAGAGCTGTACATTTTCACATCGTATCTTGGTTAATATAAGTCAGGAAATGATCAGGTGTGTCAGTGACTGCAAAGAAAGTCAATGTCAATTCTATCTTTTTTTATTTTCTGTTCCCTCCAGAATTACAAGAAGGAAATCCTGCCCTTTCAGAGGACGCTGTGCATCTGGGACTCTACAGTGATCGCGCTACTTTGTATCGTCTGATGGAAGAAGAAGGTTTGTTAAAGGGATAATACAAGCACCAAAATCATTTCATCTTAAGGAAGTTATTTTGGTGTACAGATGCCGCTGTTTTTCTGTTTCCTGAGAAATGGCAGGGTTTACATTTTGCAGTCCCCACGTCTCTTGTGGCTGTCACTCAGACAGACCTCTGTATTTATGTAGACTTATGTGATCTGAATACAGGCGGACATATAGATAGTAGAGCCTGGTTCTGTTTAAAAAAAAAAAATTGTTTTATTTCTTATCATTAATATTCCTTTAACCCCTTAAGGACCGAACTTATGGAATAAAAGGGAATCATGACATGTCACACATGTCATGTGTCCTTAAGGGGTTAAAGGGACACTATAGTCACCAGAACAACTACAGCTTATTGAATTTGTTCTGGTGAGTAGAATCATTATCTTCAGGCTTTTTGCTGTAAACACGGTCTTTTCAGAGAAAATGCAGTGTTTACATTACAGCCTAGTGATAACTTCACTGGCCACTCCTCAGATGGCTGTTTGAGATCCTTCCTGGGTCATGGCTGCCTAAAATGCATCCAAACATTCAGTATCTCCTCCCTCTGCATGCAGACACTGAACTTTCCTCATAGAGATTCATTGATTCAATTCATCTCTATGAGGAGATGCTGATTGGCCAGGGCTGTGTTTGAATCATGCTGGCTCTGCCCCTGATCTGCCTCTTTGTCAGTCTCAGCCAATCCTATGGGGAAGCACTGTGATTGTATCAGGCTATCAGACTTCTAATGATGTCAGCAGACTGCTTGTTTTTTTTTTTTGAGGCAAACAGCATGCAGAGTTACAGCTTCTGGCTTGAATACAGTAAGATGTTGCTATATTTATGAAGGCATGAGGGGCTCAGGGGGGCTAGATGGTGGTTTTAACACTATAGGGTCAGGAATACATGTTTGTGTTCCTGACCCTATAGTGATCCTTTAAATACTTTCACTAATCCTACTTGTTGTCTGTTCTCTTTACTTATCACTTATACAGGAAAAGCACACCTGGAGAGTGGGCACCCAGAGCTGCAGCATCAAATCATGCTATGGAAAGGGGACTTAAAGGGAACCTTGCAGCTTGCTGCTGAAAGAGGAGAACTGACAGACCAACTAGTGGCTTTGGCTCCGATGGGTAAGTCAATTAGCAGCCGATTGCAACAACTATACTTGTGTTAATAAATAGGAACCTAAACCTTTGAGACGGTAAGAGTGCTGAGCGTGCCCATAACATGGTATGATATATGTATGTATCATACCGTAACTTCCATAGAGCATCTGCATTTTTCTTTGCTTGAAAGGGTGGAACCAGACACATAGATTACCGGTGAGTGGGACTGTAAGGAAACATACTCCAATGGGTTTATTCACTAATGGCAAAGTTTTTAGCAGTCTGCAAAGCACAGGCTAAATGAGGTTTAAACATATTTAAAGAAACAAAATAAAAAAATGTTTGCAGCACTCCAAAAAAATACTGTTTGAATAAATTCCACAAGCTAATTTTCTGATGTACAAGTTCAATTAAATAATTCACCAAGCTATTGAGTGTTGGACATAAAAAAAGAAGAAAACGTGCTCATAGTGTAACATTGCAAAGATCAAAACCATCATTAAAAACCAAACTGCAGTCACACATTTAAAAGCATCCTTACAAATGAATTCACTTCAACTGTAAATTCAAAATATAAGAATTTCACCTGCCTGTGGAACATCACACTAAAAGGAAAACCATATGCTTCTTGCGCTATGTGATGTAACTGATGCTGTCAAAAATTCTTCCTTTATTATCCGATGTGGTTTTTGCAGACACACAGACGTTGAGTTTTTGTGTTTGTTTGTGTTATTCTGGCCTAGATTTTTCAATTAGTGCAAGAATAAAATTTTCCAAAAGCCATATATCCTCGACTAACCGCAAAGATTGCCTCTTTCCTATGTCTCCATAGCTGGATACAAGGTCTGGATGTGGACCGTTGAAGCCTTTGTTAAGCAACTTTGCTTCCAGGAACAATACATAAAGGCTGCATCCCATCTTCTTTCCATTAACAAAGTCTATGAAGCTGTGCAACTCCTGAGGGGAAACCATCTTTACAGGTCAGTGAATGTGATAGATGCATCATGGACAGCCTTGCTTTCAAGCAAAATATGTTGGATGCTTCATAGTATAGCTTTATTAAAGCTGCACTGTTGGGTCTCATTCATTGATTCATAGTTTTTTATTACATATACACAAGACAAAGTATAACCATTAGAATATAAATATTTTCTGTTTTTGTTTATATTGTAATTACATCTTTATTTGCCAACTTTGGCTTTTCAGTGTGATTCAGCCTTTAACTGAACCTGTTATGTTTATCTTATCACATAATGTCTACATCAGGTCTCCACAACCTGCGGCCCCCCCAGATGTTTTAAACTACAACTTCCATGATAACATGGCTATGTGTTTCATTCAATGAATCATAGGCATTGGCTATCTGTTTTATTCAAATATTCATGGGAGTTGTAGTGCAAAACATCTCGGGGGGGCCATAGGTTGTGCAGGCCTGGTCTACATGTTATATTCTAAAGGGAAATTGGGAACACACCTGAACATGCATTTCTCAGCAATGGTGCTGCCGTAGGGACCAAAATGTATACAATATCAGACCAAGGAGCTCAGCACACATAAAAATACAGTTTATATTTAATATTGCAAAATGAATGTTCTAAAAAACACAATACAAAAAATACAGTGTGTAAACTAAACAATGAAAGTGATAGTGCTTTGATGTATGTACTCAGAATGCAAATTATATATCTGCACTGTATCAAATGAAAATAATTATTAAAGTGACGTTGCTATCCAAAATGTCCTCAAATTTATCATTTCCTGTGGTCACCACCAAAGGGGCATCTGAAATAGGGGGTGGAATTTTTGACCCAAACGGAATCTGGTCTGGACTCCAAACTTGCATAGTAAAGTAAAAAAAGGGGAATTAGGGGCACACCCAGAACATGCAATTCTCAGCAGTGGTGTTGACTTAGAGACCAAAAATGATACAATACACAGATTAAGGAACAGCGCACATAAACATAGAGTTTTACAGATTTTATGTTGTGTGAGGAGTAGATATTGTGTAAGTGCAGGTATTAATATACTTCATGACTTTTCTTTCTGAAGGCTAATAAAATCAGAATGTTATTGAAATTCTAAAATTGAGCCATCTTCCTCTTCACACACCTCACTACTTCTAACTTCTTTACTGCCTTATCCTGGCTTGACCTCATCTATTCATCAGTCTACAAAAAATTGGAACAAAATGAACATATCTAGTATTGCACTCAGTTGAAAATGAGGCACATTATAGGATAAAATGCAACATATAGACTGAGTTGGGACAAGAGTTTTTATATAGACAAACCGTAGCCTATCCACTTTTAAAAGACCACTATGGACACTAAAACACAACTTTAGGTCCATTTCATGGGTTTTAGCCTCATATCTATTCTCTAGGTTTCTCTCTGCTCTTTTTTGTTTAGTTTTTTTACTTACAAGGAGAAATTTTTTTGATGCTTTCTGCAGCATAACTTCACTTTCTTAGTCGCATGGTCCCATTTCTCAAAAGTCCTTCAGATTGGAATGTAAAGTGTAGCAGTCATCTGGACCCACAGCCAATCACTTTCCTTTTAACTGTATAGTATTTCAGAGCCATGCTAAGGGTAATGGGGAGGAATAATAAGGGGACAGTGATTGGTGGTGTTTCGGATTGATGCCATCAGCTTGACATAGATGCAACTAAAATGGAAGTTTCTTTTTGGTAAGAGAGGACCTGGCTAAGGGCGTGGAGTTACACTGCAAAATCTTTCTTTTTTTTTTTAGTAAAAGAGAATTGAATGTGAAAAAAACAAAGCACTAATATGAAGCCAAAGTCTGTAAAATGTAATTTAAGTTGTATTGGTGCCCACAGTAAGACTGGAGTATCTTTTTAAGATGTTTCACTTAGGATTGCATTCCTTAATCCATTCCAACCACTGAGCCCATACATCCAGATTATTTGTTTATAATTATAGATTTCAGTAAGGCTTTTGACACTGTTGTACATAGGTTTATCAATAAACTGCAATCTTTAAGTTTGGATTCCAATATTGTTGAATGGGTTAAGCAGTGGCTGACTGACAGGCAACATAGGGTTGTAGTGAGTATATTTGAAGCAAGATCTTACCAGTGGGGTACTTTGATGCATTCTCTTCAATATTTTTATTAGTGATGTTGCAGCAGATCTTGATGGTAAGTTATGTCTTTTTGCTGATGATACAAAGATTTTCAACAGGGTTGATGTTCCAGGAGGGATAAGCCAAATGGCAAAAGATTTAGGTAAACTAGAAAAATGGTCCGTGGCAGCTGACATTTAATATGTATAAGTGCAAGATAATGCATTTTGGGCATAAAAACTCATGGGTAGAGTATAGATTATTTGATACAGTCCTAACCTCAACATCTGAGGAAAGGGATTTAGGGGTAATTATTTCTGATGACTTAATGTTAGGCAGACAATGTAATAGAGCAGCAGGAAATGCCAGCAGAATGCTTGGTTGTATAGGGCGAGGTATTAGGAGTAGAAAGAGGGAAGTGATCACTGGTGAGACCTCACTTGGAGTATTGTACATAGTACTGGAGACCGTATCTACAGAAGGATATTGACACTTTGGCAAGAGTTCAGAGAAGGGCAACTAAACTGGTTCATAGATTGGAGGGAAAAATGGACGAGGACAGGTTAAAGGATCTTAACATGTATAGCTTGGAGGAAAGACGAGACAGGGCGGATATGATAGAAACATTTAAATACATAAATGGAATCAACACAGTAAAGGAGGAGACTATATTTAAAAGAAAAAACTTTGTGACCTCGTGTATCTAAACCGGTATAACTTTCATTCTCACTTTATCTCAGTGTTAAGTGTTTTTGAGTACCCATTGCATTTATTAATTTTCTGTTTTTAGGGAAGCCATAGCTGTGGCCAAATCTCGCCTCCTCCCTGATGACCCTGTTCTGCGGGAGCTGTACACTGCATGGGCTGCAGTTTTAGAACAAGATGGACACTACTCCATGGCTGCTAAATGGTAAGTGGACCATAGCTAACTGATGTGTGTTCAAGATACTGTGATGTTTATATTTTATTTTATGTTAATATATTTATTAGTAAAATCATTCAGACATAGAGATATACACAGTATTTCTTCTGGTTATTACTCCTGATGAAAGGAGGTTAAAGGTAACGTTTGAAACCAGCAACCACCAAAGGTTTATATCCAGCAATACTGGACGTAAGATATTTGCAGAGAGAGTTGTATGTCCAAACTATTCCATGGTCACCAAAAATTGCATACAATGAATGAACTAGTCTTAATTGGAGCTACTGCTGGTAAGTGTAGCTGTTGATGTTGGACGTGACGAGAGATATTAGAACAAAGGCACACTCTAAACTATTAATAACTCAAGATACATGGCACCCAAAAATGAATCAAGCAACCACCTAGTGTAGTTTTATAAATCCTTGATTATTGAAGATCAACTTCTTACTGAAATTTTCAAAAAGTGTTTTTTTTCTTTTTTTAATAATAAAAAAATGTCTTATGTCTCAAAATGTGTCTGGAGTCTGTCACATTTGTGACAGTTTATAAAAGTTCTGAATTCAATAAAAAAAATGCACTTTTTAAACTTGGGAGCAGTAACTCCTCGCTAGCTGTTTTATAGAGGTGTTCCTCTCTCTTCTTACAGCTCACTGAGAATCATTGTAAATGTGCACATGTGGCGCTCTCTGACTCAAAGTCTGTGTTGGGCAAAAGAGATCTGCAGCTTTTGCAAGCTGTGTTTTGATATACCCCCCCAATGAAAAAATGCAGAATAAATGTATGCATGTTTTCATTGGTGGGTATATCTACAAAATTCTTATATACAGAAAATTCAGTGGATTATCTTTAATGTTAAAATGCAGCTTTATATAAATTGATATATAAATGGTTAAAATACAAATCCTGTTTACAGAATCTAATAGCAGGCTAACTTTCTTAAACGTTGATAGTATGTTTGTATCTGCTTTCGTGTACCTGCATACATTTTCTCTGTTTTTTTGTCTTTCAGTTATTTAGGGGCATCCTCTCCGTATGATGCAGCCAAAGTACTTGCCAAAAAAGGAGATCTGTTATCCCTAAGCACAGCATCCAAGCTTGCTTTAATAGCGGGGGAAAAGGAGCTGGCTGCTTCATTTGCCCTTCGCTGTGCCCAAGAGTTTGTGACTACAAAGAACTGGGTGGGAGCTCAGCAGGCTTTGCAGCAGCATCACAATTTGTTGGTAAGGTGATTCCACTATACTGATTAAGCCTTTCAGAACCATAATATTGTACAATCAAGTATTGTGCATTGTTGGTTATGACCGATAGTAAACAAAGGAAAGATGAAAGAACAGTTTAGAACTTTAGTAGCAAGATCAAACATGTCAGGGGTAATTCACTGCTTTCAAGGATAGATTGTAATGTTAATAACAAGAAAGAAGCTGTGTTCTTTTACCTTTGTAATCAAATTTGACCTATTACTGTTTGCAATGAAAAAAATCAATCAATACATTGATTATTTCTTTGTGTATCTGCCCCTGGCCAAATCAATGAAACAATGCGTGCACGCTCCCTGAAGTAATTCACACCAGACACAGGTTCCAGGTTGTTGAATAACTTGAGGAATGTTTATTCAGAGGGGACGGCAGGTCCCTTTTAAAGCAAAATTACATCATAAGCATTGTCAGAGATAACATGGAATAATACATCAATAATTGGTTAGGTGTTAAGTGGTTGCTCTAATGCTCTGCCTACTGTAGGTGATGTCACCGGGGCCATGAGGGTCTCCCACGGTTTCCCGGCGCCATCTTGCTGCACGAGGTAGTTAGTTGGTGTTAAGAAGGGAAAAGGGGGGGGGGAGAAGGGGTTAGAAGCTTCTAGCAGCCATTTTGATTAAAACATGTGTGCTTAGCTTTATATATGATATATCGTGGAATGAGTAAATAGACATTTTCACTAACTAGGAAATATGTGTAGACCTTATTTCCACAACAGTCCCCCCTAAAATGGCTATTTACCATAACAACTGCTACTGTCCCTAATATGTCCCTAGCTGCCTGCAGCTCATCTGTCTTAACAAGCATCGAACACTTCACTCCGTGGGTAACCCACAGCGGCTAGTCCACCACATCTCCACACGTGAGACTCACCTGCTAAGACAGACGCTTTCCCTACACTGTCCCTACAGGAAAGCAGTTGTCTGTTTGAACTGATGTGATTGAAGGGGTGTATGTGGAGTGTCATCTTCGAGGTCTGTGATGTCTTGATGTAGGAAAGTAGGGGTCACGTCATCTATAGTCTTATCTACCGCTTTCTGTAAGTACTTCTGTATGCAAGGGAGCACGCAACAGGTTAAAAATAAAAAGATGATAATCATTATAAGAACAGCTGTCTCTACCTGGAAGAGGGTCCTTTGCCAACCATTCATCCACCCAAACCATCTGTCCCAAGTGTCGGTGACTCCTGAATTTTTCTTTAGTTCATCTGAAAGACTATCTAGCTTTTCTATGGCCGTAGTCACCTTACCATTTGGCCCAGTGTTGTCTGGAATGTATGTGCAACATGTCATAGTCTCAGGGAGGATTTTACATACTCCCCCTTTCTCAGCTAAAATCATATCTAGGGCCATTCTGTTCTGAAATGTAATTTGGGTAGTGGCTTGTAACTGTTCTGCTAGGCCCTGTAGGGCATCCCTTGTGTAGTTAACGAAGCGCTGCTGATTATAATAGATGTAGTTGATCCAATTGACATTTTTGTTAGCAGTTATCATTGGAATTAGGGATTCAAATCCTGCAGCCACTTCATCTCTTGCTTTAAATTCGTTAGGCACCCCCCTTGGCACACCTATGGCATCAATATACACATGGGGGTCGAAGCTCCCTCGGATAGGAGCCTCTCGTTTGGTTCTAGAGTGTACATGTGTAAGGTTTAATGTGTTATGACTACCATCCGGAATAATGTGGATAGGCATTATGACTTTGGTTAGGGCACACTCCCCCCACCATTGCCCAGCTAATTGAGACCTCAATTGTTTGTCACCACATAACCAATAGATATCACCGATTGTCTTTGTGTGGTTCATTAGCAGTGATACTGGTGGATTATGGTAAGTTGAGCAGTATCCTGATGGGAATTTGCCCAGATGCAAACCAGCGTTCTTAGGCATTGTATAACATGTGTAATTACCTGGGTAGACGGTGACTCCATCAGGTGGTTTTACATGTCCATGAGTGATTGGATAAATTCTCTTCCATGATTCACATGTTCAGGAGTTTGTGGTGGATTGTGCGTAAAGACTCAGAACACATAATTCTACCTCAGGAGGTAAGCTCAGAGGTACTGTGCCCAGATGGGGCCTGGCTCCTCCGCATACATAACAGTTAGTCTTATTATGTGAGTTGGCGTTATACCTCATCCATTCTAGCCACAAATTAGTGTCTGAAAACCCAGTCTCTACTGCCATGGTATCTTCAAAGGTGGGGTTGGCTATAGCTACCATGTCATGTAGGGTCTTAATATGTGGTTTTAATGGGTTAATGATCATGTGTGTGGTCCCTACCCAGTCTGGGGAGGTGAGCATGTCTTGTAGGTAAAATGTCCCCAGTGCATTATGTGAGCCACCTCCCTTCCAGTACATTCCCATCACATATTCCCCTGCATCCCTTGGGCTGGGGTGTTCTATGTTCAGGGTAAGTTTAATGGGAGTTGACCCTATGGGTTTACTCAGAGTCATTCTAGAAAGTAGGGGTTTCCCGTCTCTGTCAAGTCTGTCCAGTGCAACTTGAGGTTTGTAGCCCCATGGTCTACCTGTATTCCACCCGGCAGCTTTCCATGAACTACAATGGTGTCCCCAAACTCCTCCAGTCACACAAATGTATGGATCCTTTTTGTTAGGTATGTCTTTGTATATGACTGCATATTGTGTTTGTGGAAATGTACAAGTAACTATGTCACAGTAATCAAAGGTGTATGTGGCTACATCAGTATTAGAAGAATTGTACCAGAAAGTGTAAACGTGATTATCTTTGGTTATGGCCACTTGTTGGGCCCAGACAAAGTGTAGCAACATAAAACACAAGACACATAATAAATTCATATTTCAACAGGATCAGCCTCTTCTGGAGCAGGCACTTTTTTGCAATGTGAAGCGTGTATCCAAGAACTCTTCCCAGCTAGTTTAACTGACGTTGCTGTAATCAGGAGCACTTGATAAGGACCATCAAATCTCGGTTCTAGGGTGTGTTTCCTGAGAAACTTCTTGACCATAACCCAATCACCCGGAAGCAGCTTGTGTGTACCTGTATTCGACTCAGGATCTGGAATAGAAGAAAACACTTGGGCATGTATCTTGGTCAAGGCATGTGAGAGGGCAGTCACATAGTCTACCATAGCATCTGACTGAATCTGAAGCTGTTGGGGAAAGTAGCAACCTAACCTGGGTGCTGTACCAAACAAAATCTCATACGGTGACAAGCTATATTTTCCTCTGGGAGTGTACCTTACACTAAACAACGCTAGTGGGAGACTCTCGGGCCAGGGCATGTTAGTTTCTTGTGACATCTTAAGCATTCTGGCTTTCAAAGTGCCATTCATGCGTTCTACCTTACCGCTACTCTGTGGGTGATATGGTGTGTGGAATGCAAGGATCACCCCCAGTGCTGACCAGACTTCCCGTGTTAGCGAGGCAGTGAAGGAGGTCCCTTGGTCACTTTCAATTACTTCTGGAACTCCATAGCGGAAAACAATTTCTGTCAAAAGATACTTGGCTGTAGTCCTCGCGGTGAGATTAGTCACTGGGAAGGCCTCTGGCCATCCTGAAAACATGTCCACTATGACCAATGCATATTCATAACGTCCACTCTTTGGCATCTGAATGTGATCAATCTGGATCCTCTGGAAGGGGTATTGTGGTTTAGCTAGGTGATTAGGTGCGGTCTTTATAATCTTTCCAGGATTGCATTTAGCACATATAGTACAAGATTTACAGTAATTCTGTGTTAAGGTAGTGATGCCTGGTGCTTCAAAATACTTGTCAATCAACGAGTTCATCAGATGTTTTGATAGGTGGGCTGGCCCATGGGCCCACTGGACCACCGCTGGATACATATTTCTGGGTAGGCAAAACTTGAGATTGATAGTGTAAACATCATCACGGAGTACAGCTCCTTTGTTCTTCCAACTTTGTTTCTCCTGGGGAGTAGCAGCAGCTTGTTGTTCCTTCAGAAGCCTAAGATCTGTAGGCAGTGTCTGCATAGTGTAGATGGGTAATGTATCTGCGGCCACTCTTCTGTCCACTTCCCATCCTTGCCGTGCTGCTTCCTTAGCTGCCTGATCAGCTAAGTGGTTGCCACGTGCTTCTTCTGTGTCTAGTCTTCCGTGGGCTTTCACTTTCAGTACTGCCACCTCTGCTGGAAGTTCCAATGCATCCATTAGTTCTGCAATGGCTACCCCATGTTTTACTGGGGTACCGGCAGCCGTAAGAAATCCTCTGGTCTTCCAAATTAAGCCAAAGTCATGTGCTACTCCCAGGGCATATCTTGAATCCGTGTAAATATTGACACGTAGACCTTCAGACAATTTGCAGGCCACAGTCAGAGCTGTTAGCTCGGCTTCTTGAGCAGACTTAGTTGGTTGTAGGGCAGCTGCTTGTAATACTTGACATCCTGTGGTGACTGCATACCCAGTGTGATATTGTCCCTGTTCATCAGCAAATCTTGACCCATCCACAAATAGTGTTTGGTCCGGGTTGAGTAATGCAGCTTCATAGACAGTTGGTAGGTGTGTAGTTTCCATTTTCATTTGTTCAAAACAATCATGAGGAATATCTAGGTCACAGTCTGTGGTGAGTGGGTCTTCACGGGCTTCTGTGTGGTACCTTGGGTACCCTGCTGTACAGTAATTAAGTCTTTTTGTTGATCCCCGTAGAAGTCAGTTGTTCTTGGTTCATTTGGCTCCAGGTTTTGGCCATCGGGCCTAGGTCTTTCCATGAGGTGTCGGGGGATCTGGTGAGAGATATGTGTGGGATAGCTGTTTCCCAATGATGATAGAGATGTGTTACATTCTCTGGAAGATGGACTAAGATGATCATGGTACCTGTGGGGTCCCAGAATAAGTCAGTCAGGGTAATTTGAATTTCTTTGAGCTGGAATAGTTCTTCCTCATAGTTCATATCAGGGCCTGGTACGTCCTTAAACCACAAGGTACAGTGAAGTAGGGCCTCTGATTGTTCATCATGTGGGGGTGCAAGTGCAGGCAGCTGCAAATCTGCTCGGACCTCTGGGTTGATATCCAGGCTATACCAGTGATGCATAACTCCCCCCTTGGGAAGTGGCAGAAGAGTGGCTGGGTTCAGGGAAAGACATCTCTGGAGTTTCACATTGTCAGGTAGAAGTAAGGAGGTTTGTAGACGGAGGTGACGTTGGGAGGAAAGGTGTTTAGGTTGAACTTGTTGCAGGATTGCAGTAATGTCATGAGGGGCCAACACTGTGAGGTGATGGCCAAGAACAAAATCATTGGTCTTGTCCAGGAGGGCACTGGCGGCAAACACCGCTCTGAGGCAAGAGGGGCTACCCCTCGCAACAGGGTCAAGCATGCAGGAAAAATAGCCAATAGGTCGTTGCCTTGACCCATGTTTCTGGGTAAGGACTCCGGAAGCATGTCCTGACTTTTCAGAGACAAACAAATTGAAAGGAAGTTGGTAGTTGGGTAGGCCCAAGGCAGGTGCAGAAGCAATAGCTCTTTTCAGATTGTGGAAACAGGTGATAGTTTCTTCAGTGAGGTGAAAGGGCTCACTCCTGAGGGCATCATAAAGTGGCTGCATGAGCTTTGATGCTTCGGGTATCCAGGACCTGCAGTATGTGATAAGACCCAAAAAGGCATGAAGAGTCTGATGTGTCGCAGGTAAAGGGAGTTGCAGAATAGCTTGCACACGTTGAGAAGTTAGATGTTTGGTGCCATGGGAAAGGCAATGTCCCAAGAAGACCACAGAGGGCCGGCACCATTGTAGCTTTGATTTTGAAGCTTTGCAACCGGCTGCAGCGAGGAAACATAAGAGATCTTCTGAGTCACGCTCAGCAATGGGCAAATCAGGAGCACAGAGAAGGAGATCATCAACATATTGAAGCAGGACAACATCCAAATGAGATTTCTGCCAGGGATCCAGAACCAGAGACATGGCATGAGCAAACTGTGTGGGGGAATTCTGAGCCCCCTGAGGCATAACTGTCCAGGTATATTGTTGTCCTTCATGGGTGAAGGCGAAGAGAAAGCGGCAGGAAGGGTCAAGGGGCACACTGAAAAAGGCATTAGCTAGATCCACTACAGTGAATATTGTGGAAGTTGGTGGGACTTGGGACAAGAGGGTGTGTGGGTTTGGAACAATAGCAGTGTCTTTAATGGTTACTTCATTAACAGCACGGAGGTCCTGCACCATTCGGTACTGGTCGGGTTGACCCTTAACAGTTCGCTTTTTAACAGGGAAAAGTGGTGTGTTACATGGAGATGTGCACTTGATGAGGGCACCTTTGGCAAGTAGGCTTTCAACTTGTTTGGTGATGGCTTCAGCTTGTGCTGGCTTCAGAGGATACTGTGGTCTACGAGGAGGTAGTGCTCCAGGCAGGAGCTGGACCAAGACTGGGGGTACATGCAAGCGCCCAATATCATCCGGGCCGGTGGACCAAAGTTCTTGGGGGATATGATCCAGAGCACTGGGGGTGTGTGAGACCCGTGCATTCCCTGTATTGTCAGTTAGGTTCAACAAGATGGGGAGTGAGCAGAGGACAGAGGTGTCTTTTTGTGATAAGGGGGTTGTCAACTCAACTTGACCATCTGCAGTAAAGGTAATAGATGCCTGGAGCCGAGAGAGAACATCAGCACCTAGGAGGTTAATGGGGCAAGTAGAAGAAACAACAAACCGGGAGAGGATGTGTGATCCTACGTGTAGGAGCTTAGTAAGGGGGTTACTGCGTGGTGTACCATCCACCCCAACACAGGAGACATCGGTCTCCGATAAGAAGGAAGGATCTGGCAGGTCTTGTTCCCTGAGGACACTACGGGCTGCACCTGTGTCAACTAGAAAGGTGGTTGGATGACCCTCCACGGGGAGAACTACAGTAGCTAAAGGCCCTCCCCCATCCCTTGCAGACACTGCCATGGCAGGGGTTGCTGACACAGGCTTGCCAGTTACCTATTGTAATAAATCTAGATGGGCCTGGTCTGGTCCCTGGTACCGGCGGGAAGTGGAAGGAGGGTTACTAGAATGCATGGGAGGACGGGATGGACGGATAGCGTGGCGGGGCTGTGGCTGACTGTCTTGGAAATCATCGTTGTCATACCCTTCAGCGGAGGGCGAAGTGTATGCACGAGCTTCTGATGCAGGGAGCCGGGCTTGGGTGTATTCAGCAGGAGGGGGAGGAGGAGGTTGAGGAAGTTGAGGCAACTGTGGATGGGGCAGGGCAGGGAGGTAACCAGTGGAGGGGAAGTTATAGCCGGTGACATGGGGACTTGGATACCGGGGAGTCTGTTGGCGGATCACTCTAGGGTGTGGGCAATCTCTTCTAAAGTGACCTGGCTGATTACAATTAAAACAGGTCCGGATTGTCGTGATAGTCCGGTCCCGGGAGAAGGGAATTGGTGCAGGCAGTGTCTGGGGTGAGTGAGTGTACTGCTGGGGGAGTAACTGAGGAACTTGGTTAGAACCTGCAATTGGTGTGGAGGTAGTGTACATCAGAGGACTAGTTCTTCGCTGTGTGGGTTGCAAAACAGATTCTAAGCCTTTGGCTACCAACAAAAGAGTGTCCAGTGGAATAATTCTGTACTCTGGGCGAGCTAAAATTAACCCCTTACGAATGTGCTCCCTAAGGCCTGCCACAAAAGCTGCAGATAGCATCTGGGTGTGTGCTTTGTTATAGGTGCTGAACCCTAAGTCTGAGAAAGTCTGAGTCAACCTAGAGTGATACTTTTCAACTGTCTCAAGTTTATCCTGAATTATGTCATTTATGCAAGTAGCCTGATCAGCTAGTTTATCCTGTGCCCAGGCTCGGAGCTGTTCACAGAAAATTTCACCAGAGCGAAAATCAGTATCAGAAGTAAGTGGAGCGTCGTTAAAGCTCCGTTCCATGATTGGCCAGTATGCATCTCCAGCCTTTATTTCACACAAACTAATAAGATCCCGCCAAGCAGCGGAGTATGTTTTACGGATCTGGGCCATCCTGCGGAAAAAGGGCATGGGGTGTTTCTCAGGATCAGGGAGTGAGGTTACAAGGGTAGCAGCTTGGGAAGGGTTGAAGGTAACATACATGGGTGGTGCACCATCCGCTCCATGGTTAATCTGGGTATAACCCTGGGGGATAGAGTGCCGTTGGGGGAGCCTGTTCCCCCCTAGGCGAGGTGAGCCCTGGTCCACCACAACGACCTCCTCAGGTGCCACCGGGCCGCTGTGAAGAGTAGTCTCAGGGGTAGCTGTGGCGGGGGCGGCAGGGAGGCCGGTGATGGGAGAGGTAGTTGGGTGGAAACCCGAGGCCTGGGGGGAAGCACCCATTGCATAGGGTTGGTCCGATGTCACAGACACCTCGGACCCAACCACCATGATTGGATAACTAGGACTGGCGGAAGGGACATGAGGAATCAATGCCGTGGAAGGGGCTGCTATGGGGGCCGGTTGAGATGGGCGTGAGAGGTGAGTGTTTAGGACATGAGCAAGAGCAGAGATTGGATCGGAAGGCTCGGGGATGTTAGCGGGAGACAAGGAAGGGGTCGGAGGTTCGGGGGGAGGAGGTGGAGGAGGGGGTGGTAAATCAGTGGGAGGCGGCACAGGGATCGCGGAATTAACCAGGGAGGTAACAGCAGAGAAGAGGGCGGATATCGAGCTAGACAGGTCATTGGCCGTGGATGAGTCAGGGGTCACCGGGGGAGGGTTCGGAGGGATGGGAACAGGGGGCTGTGTCGTAACAACGTGGGTGGAGGGTTGGGACGGCAAACCAGTTGGGGGAGGAGGAGGCAACGAGGTAGAGGGGGCCGGGACTTCGGGAGGAGGTAACACTGGAGAAGGGGTTGGAGGGGTGGTAACAGGGGGTTGGGTCAGGGCGGTGAGGGCAGAGATTAGGGACGGCAAATCGGCCAGGGGAGGAGGAGGCAACGAGGTAGAGGGGGCCGGGACTTCGGGAGGAGGTAACACTGGAGAAGGTGGTAACAGGGGGTTGGGTCAGGGCGGTGAGGGTAGAGATTAGGGACGGCAAATCGGCCGGGGGAGGAGGAGGCAACGAGGTAGAGGGGGCCGGGACTTCGGGAGGAGGTAACAATGTGTGGATAGCGGGAGGGTCCTGGAGGATGGGAGGGGTGTCTGGGAGTGTTGAGAGTGAAGCAGAAAGGGCGGCTACTATTGTTGCAAGATTAACGGGGGGGGAGGAGGCAGAGGGAGGGCCAACTGTGGTGGTACATAAGGGAGCAGAGGCAAGGGGACCGGGATCAACGGGCTGGACAATATTCATGAGAGTGGAGAGTAGGGATGAGGGATCCTTGGAGGAGGAAGGCGAAGGGGAATGAGAAGGAGAGAAGGGCAGAGAGGGTGAAGGGGTAGGGGTCACGGGACAGGTCACTTTCGAAAGGTTAGCGAGGAAAGGTCTAGGTCCAGGGGTATGGGAGAAGGAGGGTCCGTGGGGGGAAAGGGGTCCGGAGGAACGGGGTTGGTGGAATGGGCAAGGGTCGGGGGAGTTGAGTGTGTAATAGTCGAGGGGGGTGAGGGAGTGGGTGTTGCTAGGGATGGGGTACTCGAGGTGGAGAGGGAATGAGAGGAGGAAGAGGAGGGAACTTCGGTGGGTGAGGCGGGAGTAGTTAGGACGGGATCTTGACGAGGATTCAGAGTGAGAACAGGCACTGGGAGAGGTAGCGGAGGACATGGAGGTGGGGGTACTTCAACAGACATGACGGGAGAATGGTTGATGGAGGGGGCTGGGTCATAGGAGGGTTGGTGCATGGGAGTGGGTGGGAACGAGTGAAGTGGCACTGGGTAGTAGTAAGCACCATCCGCACCGAGTACGGGGCACAGGGGGGTGGGAGCTGAAGGCACACCCCCGGGGGGTGGGGGTCTGTGCTGTGACGGGGGAAGCAGGGCGGGAATTTACTGTTGCGCTCTGGGCGCCATCATAGGGCGGTGGCCGCGGGACAATGGAAACAACATCATCATTGTTAACACTCCTATGGTAAACATACACGATTTGCCCCTCAAACTCCAACTCTTCCTCGACCCATCCTTCCCGTTTCAGACCTCTAGCTACCCGATACCAAGCCTCTGCAACCTTTGTGAGTCCATTATCCAACAACAACCCTTCCTTGTCTATGAGTAACTTCCTCCAAAACTCAGGCTGCAATCTCCCACTGGGCGACATCTGGAAGCCACACACCTTAACAATCTTTCTAAGTTTCAACATTGCATCTTCCCCTGCCCTTTCTTTCACAATGTCACAAGCCAGCAAGCCCTTAGCAGGTCTAGCATGTTCCTGCCCCATCTTGAGTAATTGAAGCGTGCCACGTGCTAAAGACAGATAAATAGAGGAGGTACAAGGGAGAAGGAAAAAGAATGTCTACAGTGCTCGACTGCCACGGGAACTTGAGCCCCGTGCGTCTTCCCCAAACGTGGACCAGTCACGGAGATCCGCCCACCCGGGGTGGTGGTCACGGACGGGAGCGAATGAGCGTGGGTGACTAACACAGCTCTGGGCAACAGGCACAGGAGAGATAAAGAACAAAGGAGAAAATGAACGTGGCTGCGCTAATGAGGAGACATTTGCAAAAATCACAAACATATAAATGAGCGTAAACTCCGGAATCCAGAACTAACCACACAATACACACACACACACCAAGGGTACCCACACTGTAACAACAATTAAACAAAAACCACACTGGTGCCAAATATTCAAAGTATAGCAATCCCCAGCCGTCACTCACCAGGCTGGTCCTGGTATAACACAGGTACCAATAAAAACACTGCAATAATCAAACAAAATCCCAGCCCCACCGGCTGTAACGCATTCCCTGCCCGCTAGGCAGTCAAGCTAACATAAAATCCCAGCCCCACCGGCTGTAATGAGTTCCCTGCCCGCAAGGCAGTCAAGCTAACATAAAATCCCAGCCCCACCGGCTGTAATGCGTTCCCTGCCCGCTAGGCAGTCAAGCTAACATAAAATCCCAGCCCCTCCGGCTGTAATGCGTTCCCTGCCCGCTAGGCAGTCAAGCTAACATAAAATCCCAACCCCACCGGCTGTAATGCGTTCCCTGCCCGCTAGGCAGTCAAGCTAACATAAAATCCCAGCCCCACCGGCTGTAATGCGTTCCCTGCCCGCTAGGCAGTCAAGCAAACATAAAATCCTAGCCCCACCGGCTGTAATGCATTCCCTGCCCGCCAGGCAGTCAAGCAAACATAAAATCCCAGCCCCACCGGCTGTAATGCGTTCCCTGCCCGCTAGGCAGTCAAGCTAACATCTAAAATGCGTTCCCTGCCTGCTAGGCAGTCAAGCTAACATCTTTTAAAAGAAGGAAAAACACACATACATATAAATGAATACAGGAGGCAGACAATCGACAGGTTCACTTTAAAAAGGCACACCGGATGAGTTAGTTACCTGTCTCTAGTAGCCTTCTGGAAGCCGGAAGTGGACTCGGAGACAGACCGACACAAAACAGGAGAATAACACAGGCAACGGCTGTATTATGGAGGTGATCAGGCTCCGCTTGTCCCACTTTCCGGAGGTCCGCTCCGGTCCGTTGGTTCCGGCCCTCCGAACCGGCCCTCCGGTGGCCCCACGTTGGGCGCCAATTGAAATGGAAAAATCAATCAATACATTGATTATTTCTTTGTGTATCTGCCCCTGGCCAAATCAATGAAACAATGCGTGCACGCTCCCTGAAGTAATTCACACCAGACACAGGTTCCAGGTTGTTGAATAACTTGAGGAATGTTTATTCAGAGGGGACGGCAGGTCCCTTTTAAAGCAAAATTACATCATAAGCATTGTCAGAGATAACATGGAATAATACATCAATAATTGGTTAGGTGTTAAGTGGTTGCTCTAATGCTCTGCCTACTGTAGGTGATGTCACCGGGGCCATGAGGGTCTCCCACGGTTTCCCGGCGCCATCTTGCTGCACGAGGTAGTTAGTTGGTGTTAAGAAGGGAAAAGGGGGGGGGGAGAAGGGGTTAGAAGCTTCTAGCAGCCATTTTGATTAAAACATGTGTGCTTAGCTTTATATATGATATATCGTGGAATGAGTAAATAGACATTTTCACTAACTAGGAAATCTGTGCAGACCTTATTTCCACAACACTGTTGAAGTAGGTTTACAATGATACTCAGTCTACACAATACACTTTTAAGACATGTATAATTTTTTTAAGGTCATGTGGTCTTTTAGTATTTATTTCCTTGTATCACAGCTGGAATTAATCACACCTAGAGAAAATAACAATGAAACAAACATTTACTTCATTTAAGACTTGGTAGTGTTTAAACATCCCATAATAAAAGGGATGATACTTTCAGTGCTAAATTAATTAAAATGCTAGATTTGGCAGTTAAGTGAAACAGCAAAACCTAATGGACTACACAAAGCTACTGAAACCAAAGTGTTTGTTGTTTTATTAATTCTATCAAGATATCAAATGTTCGTCTACTGAGTATATCTATCCAGAAATGTGTACAGTGTAACCTGTAGACCTTAAAGTACGTTTCTTGTTTTTGATTCCTAGGGTCAGAGGCTAGTTTTCTGCACAAGCGAACTGTTGTACAGTGTCTTGGAAGAGAAGACACCAGTGGATTGGAAGACACAACATGCTCCATGTTTCCATGATTGGGTGCAGTGTATCACCCAGGAATCCTTCATTACCAGATTGATAGGACTGTGGCAGAGTGAGCTTGGCGTAAACGCTGCAGATCAGTACACTGAAGCTTACCAGCAACTATGCACCTCTGAAACCCCTCCGACTACCGCTAACACCTACCCAAAGCAGGTAACATTGAGTGCCTCTTACATTTACAATGTACACTCTTTCAGCTATAGTTTCAGAATTAGCTGAAGATCTAAAAATAATAAAGATTCTGAATTTAAAATAAACTAAACCATGTGATGTGTACAAACAGCTGTGGACTGCAGCTATTTGTGATAAGAGGACACTATACACATTATTTTTTGTACTTCATGTGATGTGCACGTCAGTGCTTAAAGTATGTTACTAACTATATTTTAAGTATTTAAATTTGCTTAAAGCTGCAGATTGTATTCGAAGAGATAAATTGCTCACATGCTCCTGTGCAAAGTGCTGTCATAAATTAACAGCATATAATCAGCAGATTCTTTAAATATAAATTTAGTTAAAAAATGTAAGTTTCTACCATGTGAGTTTATATACCTTGTAAGAATACATTAATATAAAAGGACTACGGTACTCATTTTGTTTAATATAAACATTGTGCAAGTGATTTTATCTAATCTAGATCATGGTAATATCTGATGTTAGGGACTAGACTTGTGCACAAATATCTTTTAGGTTGGCCAAACAAATCAACACCTTTATAATCTATTTCTGAACGGATCGATTATTCAATGAATAAGACTGCACATGTAAATCCTGGATCTATCTTTGACTTTGAGCTGATTCCATTTTTCTATTGTTCTACACATGCAGTTGCTACTCCAGCTTTCTCATGAGGTGACTTTTTCTGCATTGAGCTACCTCACAAAAAACTGGGACGAAGCGGCACCAGCTTTACTACGAACACTGACACGCTGTCAACAAGCTGGATATTTCACCTTAATGCAAGAAGTGTCCAGGCTGCTTCTTCCTGAAGGCAAGTTCAAGAAATGATACCTTTGGGGTGTTCATACTAGACCGTGAATTGCAGGCAACTGACAACAGTCTGTTGGAAAATATCTTGAAGTTGGACATTTTTTTTTTGAAACCCAACTCTGCTTTTTGGTCACAATGTAAAAAGTGAGAATTCAAAATTAATTTCAAATTTTAGACTAAAATAGTGGTCTTAGAGAATTGTTCCAGTTTAGCTGCTTTGTTCTTACATGTGGTGTTCACTTTAAATTGTAAGGTGCCAACACTGTTTTCAAACGGTTTGACTTCTTACCTGGAATCTGGGAGTAGGGGCTTTTGTTAGGAATTAGGGCCATCCGTTGGATTTGCTGTTTAGAACATCAATTTTAATAACTGGATCAATATCAATTTCAATAACTGCATTAACAGTATATCATAACATTTTTTAATGTAGTGAACATGTTTTATTGAATGTTTACATAGTAATGCAAGAGAGAAATATAAATAGCAGAGCATAGCTATCTAGTAGAAGTCCAAAGAGTGAGCTCCAACTAAGGAATATCGTAAACATGGGAAAATAAAAAAATCATTAAAGGGACACATTTAGTCACCAGAACAACTACAGAACAACTCCACTGTCTGCTTGGAGATGCTGAACATTCCTCATAGAGATTCATTGACTGTGTTTGGCTTGTGCAGGCTCTGCTTCTGATCTGCTTCCTTGATAAGCTCAGCCAATCCAGTGCTTTCCTATGGGAAAGCATTGTGATTGGCTCAGATCATAACTTCTGATGATGTCAGCCAAGGAGGCAGATCAGGGGCAGAACCAGCAGCAGACTGGAATTAACGTAAGATTTTGCTATATTTAGGGAGCAAGGAGAGGCCAGGGTGCTAGATTATGTTTTTAACACTCTAGTGTCAGAAATACATGTTTGTGTTCCTGGCTCAATAGTCTTCTTTAACCTAGCGTGTTATAATGTTACAGGAAAGAGAAAATCCATAACCCGTCAAGCAGGCTAGCTGCCCAGGATATTAGGAGAAGAAAAAGAGTAGAGAAGGAAGGCAATGAGCAGCAATTCCCAGCTGGGCCAGAGCGCAGAGAGGAGCGTATGCCTTCATCCAGGGGCTCCAAATTTTTAGGAAGTGATCAGTGGTTTTGTAAATGGGGGCCATCAGTTTTTCCATTATATACCAAATTTTAGCCTCGACTTGTATTTGTAAAAGGAGTGCCGCCTTTCACGTCTTGGTCAAGCAAAGCCACAAAGCTGTGCACACCCTAAAGATAAGCTTGGGTGTTGCCCGTGTGAGATTGAGTTCTCCATATCCCCTATTAACCCCTTAAGGACACATGACGGTAATATTCCATCATGATTCCCTTTTATTTCTGAAACTGTGTCCTTAGGGGGTTATGGATGGCTACCCACGTATCCAGGGGAAGGATCACATTAACTGTCCTATGTTGGAATATATCCAACAAAATATTTTGCCTCTTGCGGTCCAATGTCGGATTCTTTCTGGAGATATCCCCCGAACCTCTGCGATGCGCACAGACTGGGAGGTTCTGGCAAGGAGGATCGGCGGTACTCTCACGGGAAGGTCCAACATTAGACCGCAACTTTACCACGACCGCAACTGGTAAAATATTTTGTTGGATATATTCCAACATCGGACCGCAAAGGATTACGTTTGGGACAGGACCATCAGGGTGTGGAGGTATATACCCTTTTCCCCGTAGCCCCAAAAACAGTTGGAAGGCATTTCTGGTTGAGCTTTTGCCAGTCGTGAGGGATTGATGGATGTACCATCACGCCAGCAGTTTGTAGCAGTATATAACATACATTTTAAAGAAACAAGATGCATTTAAAGAAAATGTCAGATTGTTGTTCTCTCCTCCACCTCTGCATTCAAGATAGAACACAAATCAGTGATGAGGATTTAACTGGCAAGTTTATATCCAGTATTTTAAGGACCAGTTTGAAGTTAACGGAACACTCCTGCACAATAACAACTTTATTGAAAACTCTGTATCGCAGCACCAGATCTCTCTGCCCCCTGTCCTTCTGTTTGTTGAAAAGATTAAGAATGGAAGATTATGGCTGCCCCTTAATGTAAGCCAGCACCAGGGATCATTTGGCACCATAACAACATTATTTCAATTAGCTTGTTATGGTGCTGGAGTGTCCCTTTCAATAACAAAAAATCAGAGTTGTTGTGAATCCTTCCATTAGATTATTGCGGCTGTATATTGAGATGAACTTGCCCAATAGTGTTCTAGTAAGACTTTGGATTTGAGGTTACTGATAATTGTGATGTGTGATTTTAGCAATATTTTTCATGCCTGGAATTTTCTTTTTCTTTCAAAGGGTGCAGTGAGCTGCGGACTTACATCAATCCAGAAAACAAACAGAGTATGGCGGCATGTGAAAGTCTGCAGGCGTTTATTGCTTATGTATCTTTATATGAGGTGTGGTGGTGTCAAAGTAACAAGCTTCCCACCCGCAAAAACTCAGAAGCAGACATAGTAGTGGATGTCCCACCAGGAGGTGTTGAAGATATGCAACAATCTGGGGAGGATAAGATGCTGGAAGAAGTGCTTGGTTTTGAAGTCTTGCTATCAGAAAGACATGCTGCATTTCAGAGAGCTCAGAGAGACATTGCTGAGGTTCAGAAAGCACTACGTGACATGATACAACAGCACCAGAGAATCAGACAGATTCAAGATAATTCTCTAGAGCTGGAGCAAGAAGCAGGCACAAACACGTTGTCTCCAGACAAATCTTCTGAAAGCCAAATGTACGCAAAAATCCCAATTCATACTTGGTAACACCAAGGGTTTAAATGTAAATTTGAGGACTTTTACCACATTGGGTCTTAGAGTCCACCAGCTTATCTTGCTCCGTCTTCATACATTACTCTGATGTCTGAGCATTTAGTTTTAGTGTCATTAATTGCTCTGATGTCTTTTTGATTAATATGTCACGGATGAAAGACTGTTTGGATAGAAGTGACTCATTTAAAGACTGCTTTACAATATGGAGCCCAAGATCATTTTGTAACTGGTGTTTTAAAGCATTCATGATATGTGGAAGCATTAAGTTAATCTAATTTATCAAACGTTTTAATAGCAGTACTCTCATGGCCGCATCTGTTTTTTATTTAATCCCCCACCCGACTACACTACATCTAATTCCCCTCCTAGTCACTGCCAAATGCCCCTAGGTCCCTGATATTACTTTTTTTAAACTTTATTTTGTGCCCAGACCTAGATAGATCCCATATTGGATCTCTCACCATATTGTGGACTCATATTTTGCCGGAGTATTTTTTCTCCACCCTTGTTTTACCTTTTATTTTATTGGATCAATAAACACTTTACTTAAGTAAGTAAGTGTTTGCAGACATCATTTCTACACCAGATCTACCACCAGAGGATCTTAAGAAGGAGAGGGACATCCTATGTAATGATCCCAGTGCTGTTCCCATGAGAGCCATATGTTTATATTTGGCTCCTGGTTTGTGAGTACCTGATCCTTCTTACATCTCCTTGTATATATATTTTTTGACAATACTACACTATATTGTCTTATATCTTTTGTAGATATCTCTAGGAGTGTGATCCACCTACTGTATGTATTGCATTTATATTGAAATGTTTGCTATTCTGATGTGCTCATCTTTTCTCAAGTTAAGCATTTATTTTCTTGCTACAACAAATTTTTTAATTTCCTTATTTCTGCAGGTCAACTGGTCCAAGTCCACTGTCCCTGGCAGAGCTGATGAAAAAGCTCTCTGCAGCAAACCATAAGCTAGCGGAGTTTCCAGAGTATTTAAAGGTGGGTTTTTTTTTAAAAAAGAAGGAAAATGTGTGGTGAAATGCATGTCAATTGGCTTGGGGAAAATTTACAGTAGATTAAATTGAGCAGTTATTTAAAGGGTTATTCTAAACACCGTGATTATTCAGGTGGATTTGGTTTATAGATATGTCCGTGCTGTCTGGCTTCTCAATTCTCTGCCATTTAAGAGTTAACTATGTTGTTTATGCTGCCCTAGCTACACCTCCCTTGCTGTGACTCACACAATGTAACGGATTCATCCGCACATAGAAATGTTTATGATGGTATTTACCGTCCTGACAGGAATAGTTGTGCCCATCTGCAACCATGTGCCCGGATACCTGATAAACCCAGCATGTCTAGGGACGCCGGCCTCTGAGGATCTATGCCACTTTATTGCCCCATGGCTGCCCACGTTGATGACAACGTCGGTGTGCGTGTGACGTCACGCGTGCACATTTTGGGGTCAGAGGCCGGTTACAACCAATCAGATAAACAGCAGGGTTATTTAAACAATTTTTTTTACATTCTCTCATTTCCCTGTTGTGGTTTCTGCCTGATGGTAATCCAAGAGTGCGTTCCTGATCTTGATATTTTGGTATTTGACTTTGGCTTCGTTCTGACTTCCCTGATTTCTGGTATCCTTGACTTTTGGCTTTTTCTGATTCTGTATCCCTGACCTCGGCAAGTATTCTTGGATACGTTAGGTCCGGCCATCCTAAGGTCCGGTTAGACGTTATCCTTAGTCCTAGGTGTGATACAATTCTGCGTGCTGGATCAATTAGTAATCCTGACGCACATAACCTCCTGAAAAAGATGTCTAATTTTTAAAATTCTGTCTTCATTTGGTTTTATAAGGTATGCATTCACAGTTAAGAATAATAATAAAAGAGAATAAAGTAAACAGGTGATCAGGGGGTAGAAACATTTTTGCAAGGTAACAATTGGCAACAATAACTACGACTTCAGACTAGGAAATGACACCATAAAGGTTTTAAGGCGCAAAATAAATATCCAGAAATGTATAATTCATACAATTGGCTTTGTAAACAAAACAAAAAAATAGGAGGGACATCATGCTTGCGTGCCTAGTTGTTTGTCTTTACCTCTGAAATACACAAAGATTAAATGGCCTATTTCTATGATAATTAGGAAGCTCAGTCTCTGGAACAAGCCAAAATCCAGAGTCAGAGCGAAAAACACTACAAAAACTATTGAGGAAATTGTATCTGCTCAGAGTGGGTATGGTATTATTGAAATATATGCAACTAAAGCAAAAAAACAAATATTACCAACATTTTGTTTGATTCTGCTTGATATAAAAGGAAAAAACAGAAGACCATGAGCCTCGTGTATGGGATTAAAGTTCAATTAAAAGAGCAGGACTGTGCAGTCACATCCAGTGGAAATGTGGCTAGGGCAGGATAAAGTAATTTAACGTCTAAATGGCACAGAATTGAGCAGACAGACTGCATGGCTATGAAACTTCTTCATTAGGCTAAAGTTGTTTTGGTGCTTAGAATATATCTTTAAGAACTGTACTTTTTTAGCTCTTCTTAAAAGGGATGTAAATACATTTTAAAAGTGACAGAGTTTAAATTTTCCTCACTAACCTTCCAATCCTTATGAAGATTAAATCTGGCCATTTGGATGGCTGGTGAAGACAATGCATTCAGAAATGTATTTTGCCAACCAAGGAAATGTTTTCCCTTTTTGCATTTAAGAAAAAAAATGTTCAAAGAAGTAATGCCATTATACACAACGTTTACTTTAATTGATTAATAAATCATAAGTTTGTATCTTGTCATATACAAGATACAGTTGCTCTTCCACTTTCTGGGGTCTTTGAATATTTTGCAGAGATCAATAATGGTGACTTTACTGCTGGCCATGCGGTTGCTGTGGGGTGCAAGGAAAGGCGAGTTATACTTACCTGAACCTGTTCATAGCGGCTGCTGGCTCTCTTCATCCGCGGGATCCTCTCCAGCATCTGGCATTTCGCCTGCCAGGAGTAGACATCAGTGATGTACTCTCTTGCATGCGTGAGAGTACAACATTGATGTCTATGGAAGATCCAACAAGACCGCAGGAGTTTCCATAGAAAAAGCCATTTTCCCCTCTGACGTCAGCAGTGACTGTTGAAGACTTGACAGCTGTAACTCGGTCTTTTTGTCACGCGTAGGAAAATACATGACAATGTAGTGTCAGTTTTGCCTTATATCTATTGACTATTTTTATGTTTCAGAGACACAGTTAACACGAGATTTAATTAAGATGTTATTTTCATGAAATGCTCATATTTTGGGGGAAGAGTTACAGAGCCGCTTTAATACTTAGTATGTGGATGCGAGATTTTCGGCTCGGAGCTGGAGTCACTTGTGCCAATTTTAATACTAGGATACAGCTGGTGTAGTTTGCAGCAAACTTATTACAAAGCCAGCTACCCATAGCAAATGACAAATCTTATATGATTAGACTTGGACACAAAAGAAAACTTCAGCTCATCCAAATTCATATGGACAAAAAGATTTCCGTTCATCCAAACCAATCGCTGTCCACTAGACTATTCAGTTTGGACCAAACTCGTTCATTGTTTTGGATTGCAATTTAATTCAGATATATTAAACATTTTTAATTTTGCTCTTTTTTAAAATTTTGGTTTTTCGGCTGTAACGAATAGTACAAAGGAGGTTTAAATCCCCCTTCTTGCCTCCATCCATGGCTGCTCACTGTCAAAAAAGGCTATCTAGTCAACTAATGCACTAGCAATGGGCAGCTATTGCTGACCACTCATTAATCTAAATCTTCCTTGCCTCCATGGTGTGGCAATTAAAAAGAAAATAACTAAAACTAAAATAAAGTGATGGAGAACATATAGTGTTTCCCACCTGTGGCCATCCAGTGATGGCTATAGAAAAAGCAAAAAAACAGGGAGGACCCTGTGTCGGGCCTCCAGTCCCAATGAAAGACAGATGGGTGCTTTAATGCAATAACCGTGGAGGGGTATATTATCCACCACCCGTTCTCAGCAGGTGGGTGCTCTAAATATAATAATAAGGAAGGGATCTATTGTCCCCCTTAGCCTCCACTCACAATGTTATGCATTTGGTTATTATGCCTATTGCTTGAATTTCAGACAAATACAGTATTTGGACAAAACTGAATGCACAAGTCTGATGATCAATAGGTCTTGATTGGACTCTTTATGACACTTTATAAGAAATACATTTCCATGTAGCTATCTATGTTCAATAAAAAAGACAATGTTAGCAATGACTCTGTACAATCGAAAAAAGTATAAAACAGGATAATGTTAGTGTGTGTGTGTGTGTGTGTGTGTGTGTGTATGTATATATGTATATTATATTGAGGGCTTGCACTCCTGGTGTAATCCTGTGGTGCCCGGTGCTGGTCTGGCAAGGATTATGTAGACATAGCAGAAATGACTGCACTCCAAGGACTTTATAGAGATTTTCAAATAAAATTTTACTTTTATTCAATCTATTTAAAAAGTCAATGTTTCAGCTCCCACATGGAGCTTTCATCAGGACAAAACATGTATCTGTCACAGCTACTTTAACATTGCTTTGATTATACTTATCAATTTTTATTGCTCTTATTCTGATTGCACACAAATACCCCCTGACAAAAAAAGAATACTGAGGCTATCTCTTGTTGAATAGAGTTGAAAGTTTATAATGACGTAACAAACTAAAGTACTACACATTGGGATATGTTCAGTACTAGACTAGCTTTACTTCCTATTAATAACATTCTCTTGTTGTGCTGTTTTGTTAATGTTGGTATCCTGTTCTTTTTACCTACCTTCTCAGGTCTTGCACTTCCCTGATGTTTTGGAGAGTTGTCTGGTACTACTTCATCTACCACCCTATTCCACGTCTCCTAAAATACGGGCACAGGCCTTGGCTATGCTGCAGAGTCATATTACCGGATCCATTGACCATGAGAAAGCAGCCATGAATTTCCTTTCCTCGCTCTAATAACCTGTCAACAGTATCTCGCACTGCTTTCAGATCTGCAGTAACCACTGCCTTAGGTGCAGGTGGCTAATAACACCATTCTTCACTTTCATCAGGCTGCAGAAGATCATAGAGACCAAAACATCTTCATAACTTCTACCTTACCATATCCCGCTTTACTGTGAAAAATACGCTGCACGCGTTTGCTGAACTCCAGAATTAATCGTAGAAGAAGCTGCTAAAAATTGGAGAGTTTGAGGCAGAACAATCTTTAATATTGCTGCCACTTTATGCACAACCATGTGAACATAGGCTGCATAGTGTAATTAAAGGAATAGCTGTGGTCATCTGGTTCACATTTATGGGAGTCAACACAGGAATGGGCACCATAGGCTTTATACAATACAAAATAATTTTAATTTGGAAAAGATTAATCTATAGGATGTTGGCTTGGAACACACAGATATACATTATTTAATTTGTGTAGGCACATATCTGCACATTGTTTTATAAAACTGTATAATACCAAGGATATTTCTTTATGTAACACAGTTTGTCTCCAATTTAATAAGTATTGTAACTGGAAAGTGTAGTTGTAAAGACCTATATTTACAATCTGCAATATTTATTTTATTGATGAGGGCAAACCAATAAAGAAGACCCGAACAATAGCTGCCATGACAATTGCTATGTAAAAGCTGAACATGCTTTGTTTTGTCATTTTGGATTACCATATTATGAATCGATTTGTATTTGTTCCATAGTGGGTGCCATCCTGAACATGCAGTAGGCTGGTTAGTTATATTTACAGCAAGTGTTGGTTTTATTGTTTTTTTGTGCTATGTAACACATAACTAGGGAAGTATGAGGTGGCATCAAGCTAGCGGGTGGCACTCCTTTGCAATACATTAGTTAAAATGAGCTTATTAGTGAAAACAGACTACATTTGTACCTGGCAGTTTTGCCCGTTCATTTACAGTCTGACACAGCAGTAAATGAGTCGTGGGAGTTGGGAATGTCTAGCTCCAAACACTCTTGAAACTCTGGGTTGTCGGTCCTTTCCCCTTGTTTTGCACAGGACCCAAAGAGAAAGTTGGAGATCTTTGGATAAGCAGCTTTGTGAAGTCACGTGGTATACCTGCATATAACTTACTGAAGAACGGTAGTTTAATACTAATTCACCGTTAGGCGTGATACATGGCAATGGAATTTGAGGACTATCTTAAGAATAACATACAAGACCATTGTACATAATTGGAAATATGTAAATGTGATCACTTAAAGGAGACAGCTTTGATGCACTGTTGTATATACTGACCTGTTTGACTGTTCAACATGTATTGCATTTTTATAGTTTTTTTTTTATTTTTGAATGTGTGCGGTATATTTATATATACATACACACATGTAATTCCTGAAGTGAAAACTATTCTAATGCACTTACTCATGTATGTTGTGTACTGCAGCACACTTAGGCTTATATATTCCACTGAGCAGGCTAGAATGGTGATGACAACCTGTTCCAATACAGTTGTTAGGGGCCTAGTTGTTTCTGTTCAGCAAGCCTCACATAGCAGCTGAAATGTTACAGGTTTGCCACCACCAGACATCTAGAGCTTCTTTATCACTATCAAACTGCTCAGGAACCGCAGCTAGTATCAGGGACATAGAGGAAAATGGTACTATTAACACAAAGCTGTGCTGCATGTAATCATCTCTTACATAAGATGCCAAGGAAATCTTGAAAATATTTTTCTCTCTTTTTTTTTTTTTTTTTCTTTCATTTTTCAAAATAAATATTTGAAGTGGCATTTTGACTGTGCTTTCTTTTTTTTGTGTGGTAGAGAAAGTATTAAGTAAGAGATTAATGTGCACAACTGCTATTTACACATGGGGGCTTAAAACATAATTCTGCCCTTTCATTTAACGCCCTCATAGCAATCCCAACCTATACATCAACTAACTTGCACACACAAGATGTATGACATACACATGTACAGACATTGCACACAAAAGAAAACAGGACATAAACATATACACAGACAATGCAAAAGTAACACAGTATATGGACATATCGCAGCTTTGACAAACATCCACATGTAGAAGCACTATAACAGTGACACTGTTCACAAAATAAATTTCACAGAATAAAAAACACAATCCAGATGTTTATTATTTAAAAGCCAAATCTTTTTTGGAGGGGAGGTGGGAAGGTGCTTTTTTTTCCACTTAAAATGCAATAATAATTAGATACCCCAGTACATTTTGCAGTAAACATGGAAAAAATCTTTTACTTACCTGGAATCCAGCACTGATTGAAGCTGCCTTCCATTTGACGTCACCAAAGTGCCTTGCATGGTCTAATCACAGGCTTCTCATAGAGAAGCATGTGGTGGGGCCTTTTTTGTGAGCTCAGCCCATGCGCATAGTTTTGAGCCATAAGGGGAGGTAGGAAGAAAGTGGGAGGGTGGGGGAAACAATTGACTATTGGCCTTATTGGAAGGTGGGAAGGAGCCATCTTTACTTCCCCTTGTTCTCTTCAACGACTGGGCAGTATTATTTAGGTTCCCCCTCTAAAATCTGAAATAAGAATAAAATAACGTTATCAGCTGAAATACAGCTAGGGTAAACCAACCGGCGCAGCTTTCCACACACCTTCATGACATGGCAGTTGCGCAAGGTCCAATAAATAGTCTTTGAGAAGCCTGTTTAACCGAGTGCATGCGCACACTATGAGCTGGCAAGGGGAAAGGGAGCAGGGAGCCATATACGGGAGTAGAGAAATTGAAAACAAAAATAACCAAGCTTAAATGGAGGCGTGTAGGGGACCTTCAGACAGGATACAGGGAGAGATATAAACAACAGTGGATAGACTGGCTGGTGGCAGAAAGAGGCAGACAGATATGAAAGAAAAACCGGAAATATAGGGGAGAGTCTGACATATAGTGGAGTTAGAAATGGTAGAATGACAAATACTATTGGAAAGATGGACGGAGAATAGAAACAGGCATAGAATAGACTGACGAATAGTTAAACAAGCAAGGGAGAGACCGGCAGACACATACAGATAAGAGCCCAGATATTGTGGTATTATATAAAATGGAATATGTTCCCTTGATTTTAACCCATCACAGGACATGCTGCTGTGAGATGGAGCAGACTGGCTGGAAATAAGCTACATTTGTTGCAGGGGCAGAAAAGGAAGTAAGGGGATAGGTTAAGGGTTAAGTTAGCAGAGGAGTCTCAAATTCAATGGAAACTAAAACGGATTACTGTGCATCCTGATCTGACCTGCAAACACCGTATTTTAGCTTGCATGTAATGAAAGTAGATCCAACTCTCTCACAGAGGAGTCCACATCCTACTCTGGCCCATCCCTGCCTTCACCATTTTGTTATTGTAATAGATTGAGGAGCTAGGAGCAGCCATAGGAGGCTCAGCCAAGATTAAAGGGACACTACAGTCAGCAGAACAACTATAGCTTATTGCATTTGGTGAGTATACTCATTCCTTTCAGGCCTTTTGCAGTAAACACTGTATTTTCAGAGAAAAGGCAATGTTTGCTCATCAGATGGCTACTAGAGGTGCTTCCTGGGGCAGTGCTGTATCTCTATGAGGAGATGCTGGTTGGCCAGGGCAGCGTTTGGCTCTTGGCAGGTGAAGATAGCCCTGCATCCAGGCCCTGGAGAAAAAAGTGCAGCTAAGCGGGCAAGGGCACATGTATGAGTGTGGGGATAGATGCGTGTGATTGGTTGAGTATTGTGTGGGTGGGACTATGTGGTGTGCCGCTTGTGATTCGGGCCAGCAAACAACTTCCTGTCCTGCTCTTGTTTGTCCTGGGTTTGTAGTCAATCTGCTTGAGGGATGGATGTGGAGGCTATTCTGGCATTCCCTCAGAGCTGCTGCTGTGCTGGATGGTGGCTGGCAACTCCGCAAGCAATTTGCTCGCCTCACCCCAGGTATGGCTGCCGGTGTCTAATTTGCGGGTTTCCCCTTTAGGCGTAGTGCTTAAGAAGGAATGCGGTAAATATCGCCTAATTCATCATTTGTCGTACCCTCCTGGGGGTTTGGTGAATGATGACATTTCTGACGAGTTTCTTACCCACCCTTTGACGCAGCGGTTCACATGGTGCAGGCTGTGGGCCCGCGGGCCTTGCTGGTGAAGGCGGATGTGGAATTGGCTTTCCAGCTGCTTCAGGTGCACCCAGATTGTCGGCATCTCCTGGGCTGTACCTTTGACGGTCATTTTTTTTTGTGGATATGTGCCTCCCTATGGGTTTCTCTTTATCCTGTTTTTATTTTGAGTGCTTTAGCACTTTCCTTAAGTGGGTGGTGCGGGGGTCAACTCCCTCCTGCCCTACCCGGACGACTTCTTGTGTGTGTGGCCGGCTGTCGCATGTCTGTGATCTGCTGCTGTGGGTTATTGGGGAAGTATTTCAGCGGTTCGGTGTTCCGTTGGCCTATGACAAAACCATGGGTCCAGTTACGTGCCTTAGTTTCCTGGCCAGAGAATGTCGGTTGTCCCTGGCTAAGGTTTAAGACCTCCGACAGGTGGTGTATCTGGCGTTAGGGCGTCGTAAAGTTCAGATACGCTACCTGCAATCTTCTGTGGAAGCTGAATTTTACCTGTCTGATTTTGCCTATGGGGCGTATCTTTAACAGGCGTTTGGCACTAGGGACGTCTGGGGTCACTCGCCCTCAACACTTTATTCTGTTTACGAATTGAGCGGTTTAATCAATTGAGCGCTAGAAATGAATGTCTTACCCTATTGAGATAGCATATATTCCACTTAAAGGGTATACAGAACAATATCATCTAAAATAAGAAAATACACATCATGGTGCAGTATGCTTGTAAAATCTGGATCAAGTGTAAAGAAGATGTATATCCAACTCACATGGTGAAGAGCCTGGGGACTGGCTCAAATCACAACAGCTTGGGTATATATGGTAATACCAGACCTTCTCCAGATATACGGCTCACAAAATATGTGGATAAAAAAAAGACAAAAGCCTGGTGCAGATGCGTATAGATAAAGGAGTAATCACATTTAAAGATGCATGAATGTGCTCACCTGGAATAGAGCCAGTTATACTAGGCTCTATGTATGTACGCCTATGTGCCTTTAAGGGAGGCACTACCCTTCTTTATAAAGATGCAGGAAGCAGTTGAAGATCCACTACTTAATATATGGTAAAAGTAACAATTTATTAAAAAACAAATAAAAACTACAGTATATACAGATACCAAAATAAAAGTCACTGAAGTGGTCTTCCTTGAAGGTTCGAGACGCGTTTCGCCGTGGGGCTTTCTCAGTCAGATGAATCTGTTTCCTGGATAGAGCCGGAGAACCTCGGAGCGGGGCTGTTGCAGCGGGGTTAGGCTGTCGACTGTATCATATGGTGGGTCGGTAGCTAAAGGAGGTAGTGGGGCGTTGGTGCCGTCAGGTATCTGCATACTTGTCGGCCTGCTGGGCTGCTTCTGTTAAGGTCTTGGGCTGCCTGTCTCGCTCCCATTTCTGCACCTCGGTAGGGAGCCCATTGTAAAAGTGCTCCAGCATAAACAGCTGGAGGATTTTTTCCAGAGACTTTGCCTGCTGTGAGTTCATCCAGTTCTGGGTGGCTCGGGTTATGCGACAGGCCCACTCCGCATGGGAGTACTTCTCCCCTTTCTTCATCTCCCTGAACTTCCTACGGTATTCCTCCAGGGTAATGGCATACCTGGCTACTCTTGACAAAGCTGTAATTTCAGAGCTGTTTGTCCTCGGGTAAGGCCCGGTATGCATCCGTCGCCTTCCCCGCTAGCTTCCTGGCCAAGATGGGGACCCAGTCTGTGGTGGTGACTTCGTTTAGGAGACACAGGCATTCAAAGTCACCAGGACTTCTGGTATACAGTCTGAGACAGAGAAAATCTGTATGTAGTGAGTGTAGAAAAAAGGGGACATGCCACAGTGTTAGAGAGACCAAAGTCAGCATTACCTTAACTAATTTCATTGTCAGCCAGTCCACACAAGTTTTTTTCCTATAGGAAGTCGTCAATGCCCTCCTCTGCTTCCTTGAAATCCATGAAGGCGTCGAAGGACAATTTGGTTCTGTTTGGCTGGTAAGTGAGATCACATCCGTCGCCTTCCCCGCTAGCTTCCTGGCCAAGATGGGGACCCAGTCTGTGGTGGTGACTTCGTTTAGGAGACACAGGCATTCAAAGTCACCATGACTTCTGGTATACAGTCTGAGACAGAGAAAATCTGTATGTAGTGAGTGTAGAAAAAAGGGGACATGCCACAGTGTTAGAGAGACCAAAGTCAGCATTACCTTAACTAATTTCATTGTCAGCCAGTCAACACAAGTTTTTTTCCTATAGGAAGTCGTCAATGCCCTCCTCTGCTTCCTTGAAATCCATGAAGGCATCGAAGGACAATTTGGTTCTGTTTGGCTGGTAAGTGAGATCCCGCCCCTTGCCACCAGTTGTAGCGGACCACAGATAACTCGACCGGTTACCTCTGCTAATTTCTTTCCTTCAGCCAGTCTGAAACCATTTAGAGTATAAAGAGACCCATTTCCCCCCCAGTAACTGGACAACACTCAGTCCTGGAGGTACAACAGGATTTTATTGGCAACACACGGCTTTTATGCATTGTCCCCATGCAAGGGGACTTCAACTCAAATAGGGGCACGGGGTGATCCCTGTTATGGATGTGAATGAATTCCCTTTGTGGGAGCACTCCCGAATGGGGAGTGGGCACAATACACGAAAATACAGGGAAACACATGGTACCAGAAAGAGGAGATCCACGAACAGGAAGTGGTTCTGCCACAGATAGTATGTGTTTAATTGATGCTTTTTAAATTTAAACTAGTGAGAGATTGGTGGTTAAGTTATTAATGTGCCCATCAAGCCAGTAGGCATTAAAAGTACCACTTATACCATCTTTATGTAGGAAATAGATAGTGTGTATTTAATTGATGCTGTTCAATTTAAACTAGTAAGAGATTAGTAGTTAGGTTACTGCTGTACCTACCAGGAGGCACTAAGAATACCACTTACACCAACTTTGAGTAGGAGAAAAATATTGTGTTTAATTGATACCGATTAATTTAAATTAGTGAAAAATTGGTGGTTAGATTACCATTATACACACCAAACAAACCAGTAGGCACTAAGAGTACCATATACAGCAACTATGCACAAGAGATAGATAGTGTGTGTTTAATTGATCCTGTTTAATTTAAACTAAAGAGAAATTGTGGTTAGGTTACCGCTGTACCCACCAAACCAGTAAGTACTAACAGAACCACTTACACCAACTATGCGTAGGAGATAGGGATGGATAGAGAGGGATGGACAGGGATGGATGGATATGGATGAATGGATTGAGAGTGATGGCTGGATAGGGAGGGATGAATGTATGGATAGGGATGGATAGAGAGGGATGATGGATAGAGAAGGATGGATGGATGGATGGAGAGAGAGTGTGTATGTTTACAATATTTACTATTTGTGTGTTTGTATACAAACACTATATATATATATATATATAGTGATGTCCCTATATATAGTGTTTCTAAGCAAACACACAGTTTGGGCTGAGGAGGGTTGCCAAAGGAGGGGAGCAGGCATTGACAACGAGCTAAGCTGTCAGTCAGTCAGCGCATGCGCGGTAGAGCGCTGAGTTCATTCATAGGGCGGCATTCAATGCCGCTCTATGAAGAACATGATTTGTGCAGCACAAAGCCGCGCATGCGCACCAGGGAGCAATGACGCGTCTCAAAGAGAAGCGTCTGATTGAGCCGTGCTACTTTGTCATTTTGACGAAAAAGGGGGCACGGCCTGCCAAGGAGCTCAGCGCTGGAACAGAGGTAAGTTTTATCTATAATAAGGACTCTAAATCCATTTTTAATAAGGGGAAGTTAATATAAAAGCAAAAAAGAAGGCTAGGGTACCTTTCTTTCTTGCTTTTATATGTATACTATAGTGCTCCTTTAATAAGAGGGATTGAAAACATTAATTATGAAGAAATGTTAAACAAACTGTTTCTTTTCTCTAGCAATATAGGCACGTCAGAGAGGATATGATAGCACTATACACATTTATGTAGGGTCAGTACAAACCACTATGTGCTAACTTATTCATTAGTAGGATTATACAACAATCAAGAGGTCACACATTGAGACTAGAAAAATGACAATTTCACTTACAGCAGAAATGTTTCTATCCAGTAAGAACAAAACAGGTGTGGGATTCTCTACCTAAAGTGGCTGTCTTATCAGATCATATAGATTTTCCAAAAAAGGGTTGGGTTTTTTTTTTTTTGTTTAATTCGAGTTTTATTGGTATTTCACAACGGATAACGGGGATACAGAAGGCAGAGAAGGGGGGGAGGTTATGATGGTGATGGTACACACACTTTATACAGCAATATTGAAATAGACATCAATTCCCATTGGCCTTTACGTTATAGTACCACTAGTGTTGTCTTATCGTTGTGTATTTCTTTAAACCTTTGGTGTGGGGTTGACAACTAGGGTCACCAGAAATTCTGGGGGTAGGGAATGGGGGTGGGAGGGCAGGGGAGTGAAAGGTACAAGGTGTTTTTTATTATCACTTTTCAGCCTATTGTGGTTGATTTCGTACCAGTGCCCAGTATTTTAGCCAGGGTTCCCATGTGGTTAAGTAGGCATTGTATTTGCCTATTGTGGACCAATGTAGCATTTCCATTTCTCTTATGTGCTTTCTATCCATTGTTTAGCTGTGGGTGATACATTTTGCTTCCAGTAGACCGATATAAGGTTGTTTGCTTCTCCCAGAAGGAGCCATAGTAGGCGCTGACTCCTCATACATTGTAAAGATTGCGGCCATCCTAGCAGAACCTGGGAGGGGGTTAGGGACTGTGGTATCTTTAAGATCTCATTAATCTTGGATATTACTTCTTCCCAGTATGTTTTTATAAGTGGACAGAACCACCACAAATGTCCCATACTGCCCACTTCTCCCCCGCATCTCCAGCATTGATCACGGATTGTTTGCCAATATAAATGGAGTACATCTGGAGTCCTATACCACCTTGTAATGCACTTATAGAAAGACTCTCGTCTTGATAGGCTACTGGAAGTGTGCATGGGTTTTGTGAAGATGTATGCCCAGTCCTGGTGTGTCATGTGTATGTGTAGTTCCTTCATCCATTTACCTTGGTATGCTAGGGTCTCCCGAGCATTGTCGGTAGTTTGGATGAGTTTGTAAATTTGTGATAGGGTGCGTTTCAGCGGCTTTGTGGTCGTGCATAATTGCTCAAAGAGGGTTAATCCTCTTGGGGTCCAATTTGGTAGTACTGTTTGGGTGATAGAGTGTCTCAATTGTGCGCATCTCATTGCTTCCATTAGTGAACGGTGACCTCCCGTAATTTGGAAATGCTTGAGTTTAGGGGGTGTATCTCCTGACAGTAGGTCTCCTATTTGTGGGTTCGGTATTCCCAATAGTTTTATTATAGTATGTGCCCCCCTGCCCCCTAATATATCCGGGTTATGGTTTAATGGGTATAATGGAGAAATGCCTGGTGACAATTTCCATGCATTTTTGTGTGTCTCCACTTCTTTAAGATGTGGGGGATAAGGGGGTGTGTTAGGTTAACTGCTGTAGTTGGCATGTTTGCCATGGGAGGGATGATAGAGGAGCTTGTGCATAGATTTGTTCTATGTCATACCACGCTTTTTTGTGCCTTATATCTGTCCATTCCCTTATTCTAGTGAATATGACTGCTATGTAGTAGTTGTACATATGGGGTAGTCCCATACCTCCTTTCTTTTTATCCCGTGTGAGTATTTCATATGCCAGTCGGGAATTTTTGTTTCCCCAAATAAACGAAAGGAAGGTTTTTTTCAGTGTGTGGAAAAACAAGCGTCCGAGCTCGATGGGGAGCGTTTGAAATGTATATAGAATTTTTGGTAGTATCATCATCTTAATAATGTTGACTCTTCCAAAAAGGGAGGGTTGGATTTTTTGCACAAAAAAAAAAGAATATTCAAGGGTATAATTGACATGTATGATCCAAGAAGCACTCTGATTGCCATTATGGAATTAACCAAGATTATTTTCTCTTTTTGATGCGCTAACTTTATTTGTACTCAGTAGCCCATCCTTGTCAGATGTTTTCTGTATCTGTGTGGTTGGATAAGGGGGAAAAAGTTATTTATTCTGATTTTTCTTTCACTCTCTTCCACGCAAACACTTACACACAGTCAACACAGCTCCAAGTTGTCTCGTTATACGAACATTGGCTTGCTATTCATATCAAGCAGTGATTATGAAATATTTATTTTCACTACCTTATCTGTGGCATTTCAAGAGCTGATCAACCAGTTATAACCCAGTGGCGGTCATAGCCGATCCCAACATGCACTGGGATCCGCTGTCACTCAGGACTTCTGATGGTTGTGACTAGTTGTTAGGTATTTAGTAACAGCTTTGCGCATGCTGGGATCTCACTGATCCCAGCATGTTTATGCTCCGTGAAAGTAACAGGACAGCATTCACTCTCCTACTAGGTAAAATTGTGAAGTCCGGATATTGATCAGAAAGTTAATGTACTGTACACTTAATGGGCCTGATGCAAATTAAGGGCTTAATCCTAATTAAACTATAAAAGAACTATGGCCTAGAAAATCAATTTCCACGTAGTCTATTGTTAAAAAAATCCGATAGGACTGTATACAGGGCCGGATTAACATAGAGGCTGATAGAGCAGTAGCTTCAGGCCCATGCCATAGGCCCACTGATTTAAAAAATCACACTACTCTATTTTACTGGCACATACAGTATTTGAGGCTGCCTAGCCGTTGCCGATATTGCAGTCATACTGGCAATACAAATGCTGGTGTTTTTCTCAGTATAAACAGAGATTACGTTACAATACCAGCACTGGCCAGTGTGTGTGTGGAGAGAGGCAGGGATAGGAAGTTCCAGTATAGCCCTCCCTGTCTATCCCTAATTACTGATCTGCAGAGGAGCAGCTACAGAGAGTCCAGACAGCAACTCCCACCCTGCAGAAACATCCTACAGCTCAGGGTAGTGAGGGATGGGAGGAGACATGGGGGCACTGGGAGATATGGGGACACTGAAACACTAAGAGACATGGGAGACATTATGACACAGCAACTTGGGGACACAGAGATGCTTGGGGACACTGGGAGATATGGGGACACTGAGACACTATGGACACAGTGTCCCCATGTCTCCCAAGGTCTCCCAGGGACACTGTGATACATAGGGTCACTGGGAGACCTGGGGACACGACACTAAGGGACACTGGGACATGTGGCACTGAGTCACTGTGATACATAGAGACACTGTGAGACCTGGGTTAATCGACACTTAGGGACACTGAGTTATGAGGGCACTGGGAGACATGGGGACACTGAGACACTGGGTGACATGGGGACACTGATACATAGGGACACTGAGACAGTGTGAGACTTGAGACACTGAGAGCAATCCATCTATGCAGCAGAATCAAACTGTAAGTAGTTTTTTTGGTGTTTTTACAGCATTTTCTCTTATGTTACATAGTTGCATAGCTCCATCAAGTTCAGCCTTCCTCACATTTGCTTTTTTGTTGTTGATCCAAAAGAAGGCAAAAAAAAAACAGTTTGAAGCACTTCCAATTTTGCAACAAGCTAGGAAAAAAATTCCTTCTTGACCCCAGAATGGCAGTCAGATTTATCTTTGGATCAAGCAGTTATTACCCTATATTGAAAGATTATATCCTTGAATATTCTGTTTTTGCAAGTATGCATCTAGTAGCTGTTTGAACATCTGTATGGACTCTTAAAAAAACACTTCTTCAGGCAGAGAATTCCACATCCTTATTGTTCTTACAGTAAAAAAAACCTTTCCTTTGCCTTAGACGAAATCTTCTTTCTTCCATTCTAAATGCATGACCTCGTGTCCTATGTAAAGTCCGGTTTGTGAATAGATTTCCACATAATGGTTTGTATTGGCCCTGAATATATTTGTATAATGTTATCATATCCCCTCTCAGGCGACTTTTTCTAAACTAAATAGGTTTAAATTTGTTAACCTTTCTTCGTAGCTAATATGTTCCATTCCTTTTATTAATTTTGTAGCCCGCCTCTGCACTTTTTCTAGTGCCACAATATCCTTCTTTAGAACAGGTGCTCAAAACTGCACAGCATATTCAATATGTGGTCTTACCAGTGATTTATAAAGAGGCAAAATTATATTCTCGTCTCAATAATGAATGCCCTTTTTCATGCATGACAATACCTTACTGGCCTTGGCCACTGCTGATTGACATTGCACATTGCTGCATAGTTTGTTGTCTTTAACAATTCCCAAGTCCTTTTCGTGTGTTGTTATCCCTAATTTGCTTCCACTAAGGGTATACGTTGCTTGTGCATAACTTTGCATTTTTCAACATTAAATTTCATCTGCCATTTGAGTGCCCGGTCCCCCCGTCTATCTAAATCCCTCTGCAGCAAAGTAATATCTTGCTCACATTGTATTATTTTACAGAGTTTTGTGTCATCTGCAAACGCTGAAACATGACTTTCAATGCTGTCTTCGAGATCATTTATAAACAAGTTAAATAAAAGGGGTCCCAGAACAGACCCCTGAGGGACACCACTTATCACCTCTGTCCAGCTTGAAAATTTATCATTAATGACAACTCTTTGTACTCGCTTTTTAAGCCAATGTTCTACCCAAGAACAAGAATTTTCATCTAGACTGATTTCCTTGAGTTTGAACACTAATCTATTGTGTGGAACCGTATCAAATGCCTTGGCAAAATCCAAATAGATCACATCCACTGCAACACCCTGATTTATACTTCTACTTACTTCTTCGTGGAATGCAATCAAGTTAGTTTGACATGACCTGTGCTCCATAAAACCGTGCTGATTTTTGCTGATAACCATGTTCTTCTTGAATATTATCCCTTAATAACCTTTCAAATATTTTCCCAGCCACAGAAGTTAAGCTCACAGGTCTATAATTTCCAGGCAAGGATTTAGAACCCTTTTTAA